TCTACAGAACTCTCCACCCCAAATCAACAGAGTACACATTCTTCTCAGCACCACATCACACCTATTCCAAAATTCACTACATAATTGGAAGTAAAACACTCCTCGGCAAATGCAAAAGAACAGAAATCACAACAAACTATCTCTCAGATCACAGTGCAACCAAATTATAACTCAGGATTAAGAAACTCACTCGAAACCAGACAACTACATGGAAACTGAACAACCTGCTCCTGAAAGACTACTGGGTAAACAGCAAAATTAAGGCAGAAATAAATAAGTCCTTTGAAACCAATGAGAACAAAGACACAATGTACCAGAATCTCCAGGACACAGCTAAAGCAGTGTTTAGAGGGAAATTTATACAACTAAATGCCCACAGGAGAAAGTGGGAAAGTTCTAAAATTGACACCCTAACATCATAATTTAAAAAACTAGAGAAGCAACAGCAAACAAATTCAAAAGATAGCAGAAAACAAGAAATAACTAAGATCAGAGCAGAACTGAAGGAGATAGAGACACGAAAAACCCTTCAAAAAAATCAATGAATCCAGGAGCTGGTTTTTTGAAAAGATTAACAAAATAGATGGACCACTACTAAAGAAGAAAAGAGAGAAGAATCAAACAGACACAATAAAAAATGATAAGGCGGATATCACCACTAATCCCACAGAAATACAAACTACCATCAGAGAATAAATACTATAAACACCTCTACGCAAATAAACTAGAAAATCTAGAAGAAATGGATAAATTACTGGACACATACACGCTCCCAAGACTAAACCAGGAAGAAGTTGAATCCCTGAATAGACCAATAACAAGTTCTGAAATTGAGGCAGTAATTAATAGCCTACCATCCAAAAAAAAAAGCCCAGGACCAGACAGATTCACAGCCGAATTCTACCACAGGTACAAAGAGGAGCTGGTACCATTCCTTCCAAAACCATTCCAAAAAATAAAAAAAGAGGGACTCCCCACTAACTCATTTTATGAGGCCAGCATCATCCTGATACCAAAACCTGGCAGAGACACAACAAAAAAAGAAAATTTCAGGCCAATATGCCTGATGACCATCCATGCGGAAATCCTCAAAAAATACTGGCAAACTGAATCCAGCAGCGCATTAAAAAGCTTATCCACCATGACCAAGTCAGCTTCATCCCTGGGATGCAAGACTGGTTTAACACACACAAACCAATAAACTTAATCCATCATATAAACAGAACCAATGACGAAAACCACATGATTATCTCAATAGATGCAGAAAAGGCCTTCAATAAAATTCAACACCCTTCATGATAAAAACACTCAATAAACTAGGTATTGATGGAACATATCTCAAAATATTAAGAGCTATTTATGACAAACCCACAGCCAGTATAACTGAATGGGTAAAAGCTGGAAGCATTCCCTTTGAAAACTGGCACAAGACAAGGATGCCCTCTCTCACCACTCCTATTCAATACAGTATTGGAAGTTCTGGCCAGGGCAATCAGGAAAGAGAAAGAGAGGGCATGCCCAAGATGGCCGAATAGGAACAGCTCCAACCTCCAGCTCCCAGCGTGAATGACACAGAAGACAGGTGATTTCTGCATTTTCAACTGAGGTACCAGATTCATCTCACTGGGGAGTGCCGGACAATCGGTGCTGGTCAGCTGGTGCAGCCTGACCAGCGAGAGCTGAAGCAGGGCGAGGCATTGCCTCACCTGGGAAGCGCAAGGGGGAAGCGAATCCCTTTTCCTAGCCAAGGGAAACTGAGAAAGAAATAAAGGTATTCGAACAGGAAGAGAGGAAGTCAAATTATCTCTGTTTGCAGATGACATGATTGTATATTTAGAAAACCCCATCATCCCAGCCCAAAAACTCCTTAAGCTGATAAGCAACTTTAGCAAAGTCTCAAAATACAAAATCAACGTGGAAAAATCACAAGCATTCCTACACAACAATAATAGAGAGTCAAATCATGAGTGAACTCCCATTCACAATTACTACAAAGAGAACAAAATACCTAGGAATACAACTTACAAGGGAAACAACAGATGCTGGAAAGGATGTGGAGAAATAGAAATGCTTTTACATAGTTGTGGGAGTGTAAATTAGTTCAACCATTGTGGAAGACAGTGTGGCAATTCCTCAAAGATCTAGCATCAGAAATACCATTTGACCCAGCAATCCCATTACTGGGTATATACCCAAAGGATTATAAATTATTTTACTATAAAGATACATGCATATGTATGTTTATTGAACTTAATGTATAATTTTTTTAAAAAGTTAAAAATTGGAAATAACTCAAATATTCATTGAAATTAGAATAGATAAATATGTAAAATAATTGTACAATTCAAGACAATGCAAAAATGAGAATAAATGAAGTACAACTACATACAACAAAGATGGATGAAACAAACATATTATTGAGTGCAAGAAGCTAGGTACAAGAGAGTACATACCATAAAATTCCATTTATAGAACATTTTAAAATAGCCCATACAAATCCAAGGTGCTGGAACTCAGGCTATTAATTACTCTTGGGTTAGTGACAAATAGGGAAACAGAATGGCTTCCGAAATTCTAGAATGTTTTCTTTCTTTTCTTTTTTCTTTTTTTTTTCTTTTTCTTTTCTTTTTTTTTTTTTTTTTTCTTTTTCTTTTCTTTTTTTTTTGTTTTTTTTTGTTTTTTTTGACAGAGTTTCACTCTGTTGCCCAAGCTGGAGTACAGTGGCACCATCTTGGCTCACTGCAACCTCTGCCCTCCAGGCTCAAGCGATTCTTGCTTGTGCGCCTCAGCCTCCCAAGTAGCTGGGATTACACACATGTACCACTGCACCTGGCTAATTTGTGGGTGTGTATGTGTGTCTAGTAGAGGTGGGGTTTTCACCATGTTGGCCACGCTGGTCTCGAACTCCTGGCCTCAAGTAATCCGCCCACCTTGGCCTGCCAAAGTGCTGGGATTACAGGTGTGAGCCACCACACCTGGCCAGAATGCATCATTTCTTGATCTGAGCCTGATTACAGAGATGTATTCACTTTGCCAGTATGAATATACTCACAACTTGTGTACTTTTCTTTATGTATGTGTGAGCAAAGAGTTAATAGCGGGTCTGTACCATTTTTCTCCCAGAACTAAGCCTGCCTGGGAAATTGTAGGTTTGTCTTCTCCCAGCACAAGTTTCTTGTAAATGACCCAAATTAAGACAAATTTGGAATGTTGGGTGCCAGGGACAGAAACTTTGTGCACTGTGAAACCTGCAATCTATGGGACAGTACATGGGGCTGGGAGACCTGTGAATCGTAGGCCTATATGACTGGTGGGAAACTCAAGTAGAAGTTTCTTTGCATCAAGATGAACCCCACATACCACAACCTCATCCCCAGCAATCATGCACGCTCTTTAGGCAGGTGAGGAGGGACCCAGGCATCATGCATGCTTAATTTCCTGTCCTGTATCCTACTACAAAGTTAAGCAAATTTAGTGCCAGGCTAAATGCTGTTGGATCTCATCAGTTTGCTTGCCAGTTCAACCATGTTACCAATATCATGGTGGTACCATGTGTTGTACTTCAATAAAAAGTTTACTAAATACCTTTATCTATTCTTGCCAAAAGGTTATTTTCACTGATTGTATATTCTTCTTGGCCTCCAAATTAATTCCATTTTTCTGAGCCTCCTCTCTGTCTGTTGACCTCCTATATTCTCCTTTTTAGGACTCTACAATCAACCCCTAAACCTCCTATTCAATTATTATGCAGAGCTGTTTAAATATTGCACTATCTTCACCTCAAATGACCCAGAGAATCCTCATATCAGTAACTAATATTAAGATTGGTTGCAAAACATAGTTCCCTTCCAGGAGAAGTTGTATCTTTTCTTTTTTTTTTTTTTTTTTTTGGACAGAGTCTCACTCTGTCGCCCAGGATACAGGGCAGTAGCACAGTCTCCGCTCACTGCAACCTCCACCTCCTGGGTTCAAGCAATTCTGCCTCAGCCTCCCGAGTAGCTGGGATTACAGGCACACGCCACCACGCCTGGCTAACTTTTCGTATTTTTAGTAGAGACAGGGTTTCACCATGTTGGCCAGGCTGATCTCTAACTCCTGACCTCAGATGATCCACCTGCATTGGCCTCCCAAAGTGCTGAATTACAGGCGTGAGCCATTGTGCCTGGCTGACAACCTCTTAAAGAAACTTTTTTGTTTAGTTAAACAAAGAATGGTAAATCTTTTTTCATGCACCTTCAAAATTCACACATTATCTGGACTCTTAGTTACCTAAGACATACCCCCAGTTATTCTTGTTCCTAATTTAGTATCTCAAATTTTCCTGAGGTGTTAAAACAAAAGGAATAGAGCTTGCCCAGTACCTTAGAAGTGCTGCACCCTCTTAGAAGTGCCAGGCGCTGTCATAGTTGTTGCCCTCTTAGAATGATTTACTTCTGGGTGTCACTCTTTGCTCTGTACCTGGTACATCTATAGTGATGGCAGATGCTCCATACTCAGTCCTGGCTTTTCAGAGTTTGGCTTTGCTGGGTTTTTTCTTTCTTTCTTTCTTTTTGAGAGAAATTGGCACTTCCAAGCTGAGTAAAACATGGAAAGGGCAACTTACTGCATCCATATATTGATGCTACATTATTTCCTATGTCATAACATTAACCTCCCTTCTGTCCACTTTTGCTGTTTCGTAGTCTCATGTCTTCTTGAGCTAGACTATCTTATATAAATTCACATATTATGTGAATTGAGATCTCAGTAATAGGAGCCTTCTATCTCTCTTCATCATAACAGGAGTCATAGGAAAGGGGGTGTGATAATCTCAGAAACAGACTAGCATCTCATACAAACTTGTTTCTGTTTTTGAGACAGGGTCTCGCTCTATCACCCAGGCTGGAGTGCACTGGCACAATCATGGCTCACTGCACCCTGGACCTCCTGGGCTTCTGTCTCAGCCTCTCAAGTAGCTGGGACTACATCACTACACCTAGTTTTTGTTTTGTTTTGTTTGGTAGAGACGGGATCTCACTTTGTTGCCCAGGCTGGTCTCAAACTGGACTCAAGCTATCTTCCCACCTCAGCCTCCCAAGGTGCTGGGATTATAAGCATGAGCCACCACATTCAGCCAAAACATTTCTGAGACCACCACTTGAACTATCAAGTATCTTCTTGTACCTGATTCTCATTAGAAATAATACACATTTATTGAGTGTCATTGATATATAAAGATACCATTCTTTGAGTGGGGAAATATAATTTAAAAGTCACAACTACTGACAATCAACAATTTAAACACTAATGAGAATAATAAAGCTTGTTCCCAGAGAACCATGATACAGGGTGGGAAAGTACACAAATAATGGGCTCCTGTTGTTAAACTTCATGGTAATTACACTTGTGCGTTCTCCAGTATCTTTCTTCCTATTGTACTCCTGAAGCACTCAGAATGATAAAGATAAATTTCTGATCATTCCTACAAAGAGTGCAGGCAAAGTTAAGATTTAACTGTGATTGCTGGTTGTTTCATCTTGAATTCAAAATCCTGAATTTCCGAAACAATGGAGCTTGATGCCCCATTTGGCTATCTTACTTTTGTCTCCTCTTCTAGAAAGAACAAGTCATCTTCCTGAAAATTACAGGAGACACTTACTATGACAAAATAAGGCCTCTGAAACTGTCTAATCTCACATGTAAAAAGTGTAAAATCACAGAACTAAAATCAGGTTCTGGATTTTCCTGGAAATAGGATGTCACCAGGGTCTGTTCAAAGGTGAGCTTTGGCTACATCTTATAACAGTGTTTAAAACTCAAATGCAAAAAAACTGCTTTCAATATAATCAGATATGTGGAAAAACAATTTGTTAAATAACATAGGAAGATCATATTAACAAAAGACATTTCCAGAACACTAGCATTCATGCGGTTTATAAAGGTGCCTTTACTATAAAGATCTACACAGCCCAAAAACACGAAATTATTCAAGGGAGGCCCTCTATCCCATGAATTGGCAGAATTCATTTTCGTCTTCTATGCGTGGATCACCGAAGTGAGGAATGTCACTCCTCTTCAAGAAGGAAACACCTTCAGCCTTGTGAAGGGTCAGGTTTTCAGGTAACCTCAAGGGTTCCTGGGGCTGTGATCATGAAGAGCAGCCACTATGAAGACTGCTGAGAAGCCTTTTTCACTTCTTCACATTCGGGATGTGAAATATTTTACAGAAAAATAAGAGTGTGCAAGTCCCTCTCACACGTAGCGAAACGATTGTCTGCATACTCTTAAATTTTTAAAAGTTTTAAAAACTGTGATCTTTGCACTGTTTACAAGAGTCAGCAACCGTGAAGAAAGATATTCACCGTAAGTGACCCCGTATGGTGAAGATGTTCACAATAGGTGACAGTTTTGCAAGATGACTCTTTGAGTTGGCATTCTGTTTCGGGTTACCAGGTTTCCGCAATCTCTGTGAGAGCCCGCAGCAGCTCTGCAAACGTAGGGCGGCCTTTGGGTTTCTGGAAAAGGGAAGTGGGGGTGGTTAGCTTAGCTTAACCCACTTATGCCAAGTGTTTCATTTTTGGAACGCTAAGCATGTGGGAGTTATTTATATCCCACTGCTCAAGATCATTGCCAAGGTCTGATTTTTCACTCATGCAAAAATTCAAAAAATTGCCACCTGTGGCATAAATGGGCTAAGGATCACTCAGAGACCAGCTCTGGAACTTGCTGGCAGAGACCTGAATCTAGGCTGGCTCGCCACAAAAAGGAAGAGAAAGGTATCTCCACCGACATACCACAGCGTGATTGGCAGTTGAGCGAGGCGTGAGTATGAAAATGTTAGAGAATGCTGCAAAAATAAAATGGCTAGACCTGCAAACACTGGCCACATGTGGCTATTTAAATGTAAATTCCTTAAGATGACATAAATGTTTAAATTCAGTTATTCAGTCATGCTGGCCACTTTTCAAGTACCCAATAGCCAGAAGCGGCTGCTATATTGGGCAGCACAGATACAGAACGTTTTCAGCATCTCAGAAAGTACTCTAGGACACCACCACCCTAGAGACATATTTGGATGACTTGACATGTGTGAGGTCAAGAAAGGGCTGGCAGAAGGGGCATCTAGAGTACCAGGCTCCCAAGCTCAGTTCAGGGTATCTATGACACCTGAGCCGTTATAGAAAGGAGGATTTCAGTCAGAAAGCAAAAGGCATGTTTTCATGAGGGACTTTGAAGATCCTGGGGTATAGGCTGTGCTTTCAGTCGCAGTCAACAGAAAAATAAGAGTGTGGAAGTTCCTCTCACTCATAGCAAAATGATTGCTGAATATTCTTACATTTTAAAAAGTTTTAAAAGCCTGTGATCTTTGCACAGTTTTCAAGAGTCAGCAACTCTAAAGGAAGATATTCACCATAAGTGACCCCATATCCCTGGTCATGGAGCCAAGGATTGGAGCATTTTTTCCTACTTCATTTAAGGGTGTGGTTTTCCTACTTCATTTAAGGGATGGCACTGTCAGCATCTTTGAAAACTGTGGGAAACAGAGCTACTCATAGTAGCCACATTCTCACAGGTGTCACCAACAGCAGGGTCAGCGGAAAGATACTCCTTTTCATGGCTTATAAACAGAGAGCCTCAATAAAATAAACAGAGTAGAAGACAGCACAAGTGCAAGTGAGGGTCCTCATTGAGACTCTGGGAATAAATTGTGGAGCTCTCTGAGGAACCTGCTTCTGTGCATGAATCCTGAAATTTGTCTCTCAAATATAACATAATCACTTTTGACTCTAATGCCCTAAGCACATGGGCTAAAGTTGTAGGCAAAATCAACTTTCGCACCTGACACAATAGCTCACATCTGTAATCCCAGCACCTTGGGAGGCCAAGACAGGAGGACTGCTTGAGGCTGGGGCAACAAAGTGAGACCCCATCTCTAGAAAAAATTTTTAAAAATTAGCTGGTCATGGTGGCACATCACTGTAGTCCCAGCTATTCAGGAGGCTGAGCTCGGCGGATTGCTTAAGCCCAGGAGGTCAAGGCTGCAGTGAGCTGTAATTATGCCACTGCACTCCAGTCTGGGCAATAGAGCAAGACTCTGTCTCAAAAATGAATCAACTTTTTCTTTTCTTTTCTTTTCTTTTTTTTTTTTTTTTTTTTTTTTTTTTTGAGACAGTCTCGCCCTGTCTCCCAGGCTGGAGTGCAATGGCGTGATTTTGGCTCACTGCAACCTCTGTCTCCCAGGTTCAAACAATTCTCCTGCCCCAGCCTCCCAAGTGGCTGGGATTACAGGTGCCTGCCACCACGCCCAGCTAATTTTTTCGTATTTTTAGTAGATATGGAGTTTCACCATGTTAGCTAGGCTGGTCTTGAACTCCTGATCTCATGATTTTCCTACCTCGGCCTCCCAAAGTGCTGGGATTACAGGCGTGAGCCACCACACCTGGTCAAATCAACTTTTTCAAACAAATAAATCAACATAACTACACCATTGTATTAATCAATGTTCTGACTGCAATTTGAGACTAATGTTGTTTACATGGTCCTTCTGACAGCATCCTACTGATCACTTCCCTTCCTCCTTCTCTGTCTCAGATCCACTTATATATAACATCTCAATAAGTATTATATTACACACACACGTACATGAGTATTATTTCATACACAAGGTATACTTCTGAGCTACTTACATTATTATTGCAAAGATGCTCCTAAAATAGTTGTTTGTTACTACTTACTGAACATTTTTCTGAACATTTTCTTTATAGCTTACTGAACATTTTTCTATGTCTTTCAAGATTCCTTGTAAAGTAATTAATATATGTAAAATATTTTCATACATTGGGGCTTTCTATAAATGTAATGCTTCTTGGAATATGAACAACCACATCACTCTGAAAATACTCAATATTCTAGTGTTTGTGGTTATAAATTGATAATCAAGTGCTTTATTTTTTCAGCCAGGAGGAAACTTCTCATCAAGCTGTAATTTTCTAGGCTGAAACTGTCAGCTGGAAAGAGAGTAAAGCTCTCAAAATCACAGGGAAGTTCACTGAGAAGGGCAGGGGTGTGTTGAGTCAGTGTCCAGAGGTGGAACAGAAGCCCCTCTGGCTTTACTTCTAAGCTTGGCATTTCAACAAATAGAAAAACTAAGTTCTGGAGAGATTTCTTCCTGAATGGAAGTTCCTGACACACTTTCTGCCTCCATTCCCAGTCTAGTTTAATCTCTAGCAGGAGTCCTGAGTGTCAGAAGACAGATGAAACCCATTACTATTAGCGTTAGAAAAGCAAGACAAAGGAAAGTTGAGTGAAGTAAATGGAAACACCATCTTTCTTTTTCAACGTGGAAGTTTAACAAACCTCGTTCTACCCTTAGTTTCCACCATTAATTCTTTCATTTATTCTTTTATTTGTTTGTTTGTTTGTTTGTTTGTTTTGAGACAGAGTCTTGTTCTGTTGCCCAGGCTGAAGTACAGTGGTGCAATCTCAGCTCACTGTAGCCTCTGCCTCCCAGATTCAAGCAATTCTCCTATCTCAGCCTCCCAAGTAGCTGGAATTACAGGCGTGCACTACCAGGCCTGGCTAATGTTTTTAGTTTTAGTAGAGACAGGGTTTCACCATGTTGGCCAGGCTGGTCTCAAACTCCTGACCTCAAGTGATCTGCACACCTTGGCCTCCCAAAGTGCTGGGATTACAGGCGTGAGCCACCACACACAGCCTCCATCATTTAATTCTTTTTTTTTTTTTTTTGAGACAGAGTCTCTCTCTGTCGCCCAGGCTGGAGTGCAGTGGCACGATCTCGGCTCACTGCAACCTCTGCCTCCCAGGTTCAAGATTCTTCTCCTGCTTCAGCATCCCCAGTAGCTGGGATTACAGGCATGCACCACCATGCCTGGCTAATTTTTGTATTTTTAGTAGAGACGGGGTTTTACCATGTTGGCTGGGCTGGTCTCAAACTCCCGACCTCAGGTAATCCACCTGCCTCGGCCTCCCAAAGTGCTGGGATTACAGGCATGAGCCACTGCACCCGGCCCATTAATTCTTAAAGCTAATAAAACACCTAATCACTGAGGCTTGAGTAACACCAAGAGTTTCTGCAAGAACCAATCTCAAACAGATAAGACTCAGGAAATGCACTGAATTCCTCAGATAAAAGGCCATTGTTCAAAACAAAATGGATTCATGACTTTGTAGTGAGTATGAGATAGAAATAGTACTTCAGACTCTCAGGATCATGACCAAGACACAGATGCCTTTTCCTGCCATGACAGAGTTCTGAAGTCATGTTTGAGATAATCAGATCTGCTCTCAGATGCTGGGACTGCCAACCTTCGTAGGAAAGTAACGTATACTTACTTACCTCATGCCAGCAGCTGTACATAACTTCATATATGGACATTGGTGCTAGGTGAGGGCGATATAACCTGAAGCCTTCAGAAATAGCTTCCACGACTTGCAAATTTGACTTATTTTCAAAAGGCATTTTTCCTTCTGTAAAAACTTCCCACATTAAAACTCCTGCAAACAAAAATGCATGAAAACAAGGGGTTAGAGAGAAATGATTGCTTGGGAACTGAAAGAATAATTTCAAACTACAAGGCATTATTTTTGTGCTCCAGGCTTTGGGTTATAACCATCCTGAATAACAGCGGTTCTATCAAGGAAGCAAATCATATGTACCTCAGGTTTCAAAGAGACCTGTAACCTGAAAATAATCTAAGTGAAAACAATGCCTTTCCTTTTCCATGAGTTTTGACTGCCTTCTCTATCAGGAGAAAATGCCGGTAGCATTTCCTTTTTTTTTTTTTTTTTTTTTTTTTGAGACAGGGTCTCACTCTGTCACCCAGGCTGGAGTGTAGTGGCATGATCTCAGCTCACCGCAACCTCTGTCTCCCAGGTTCAAGCAATTCTTCTGCCTCAGCCTCCTGAGTAGCTAGGATTACAGGTGCCCACCACCATGCCCAGCTTATTTTTGTATTTTTAGTAGCGGCAGGGTTTCACCATGTTAGCCAGGCTAGTCTTGAACTCCTGACCTCAGGTGATCTGACCACCTCAGCCTCTCAAAGTGCTGGGATTACAAGCGTAAGCCACCACGCCTGGACTAGCATTTTCATTTCTAAGTAGCAGTCATGTCCCTGCACTCTGAAATCAATGAACCTTTCTGTCATTCCATAGAAACTGACAAGATTATGTGAGCCTCTGCTGCCTACTTAGCCAAGAGTTTCAGCCAGTAAATGGCATGTGTCCCCTTCTTTCTGCTAAAAGATTAGACTGATGGGCAGAGCCCCAGAGTATCTAGCCGGGTCCAGTAATCATTGATTGATTGGTTAGTGAAACTCCTGCAAGAACTCCCAATTTGAGTTCATTCAATTATTCACTTATTCTACAAATATTTGCTAGACATTGATGAGAGGCCAGGCATCTCCCGGGGCCTGGCGATTTTATACGTTTGAGATCAACCCATGTGCCTAAGGAGCTCACTGTTCAGTGAGGGAGATAAGTACGTAAAATTCAGGGAGTTCTAACTGTTCTGCAACCTTCGATGAGGTCCCTATATTGCTCTTCATTGGTGTCTAACATGTGGTCTCACAACCTAACTGCTCTTCAGTAGAGCTTCAAATGTCACCTGCTGAGACTATCATATGTCCATGGAAAGCTGATGAGATTAATGACACAAGCTTAACCTTATTGTATTTTTTTAAATTTATGTTTTAATTATTTTTTAGGCAGGTTCTTGCTCTGTCACCCAGGCTGGAGTACAGTGACACGATCCTGGCTCACTATAACCTCAAACTCCTGGGCTTAAGCAATCCTCTTGCCTCAGCCTCCCAAGGAACTGGGACTACAGGTACATGCCACCACACCTGGCTATTTTTTTTTTTTTTTTGTAAAGACAGAGTCTTGCTAGGTTGCCCAGGCTAGTCTTGAACTCCTGGTCTCAAGCAATCCTCCCACCTCAGCCTCCCAAAGTGCTGGTATTGTAGGCCTGAGCCACTGTGCCCAGTTTTAACCTTATTGTAGACAATAAAACTGACACCCTTCTGAGGACCCGGAACCCACAAGCCTCCAGGCAGTTCTGGGTGAAAGAGGATAGATAGATTTTTGCATATTACCATTTCTTGAAAATCAACCTCGAAACTTCACTGGACGTGGGTCTATGGTGTCTCTTTTTCAATGAAGAACATTATCCAATATGAATATCAATTCACAGATCTCAAGGAAGCCTATGTCTAAATTCTACAAACTTTAAAGTTAAGGAAGTAAATGAGATGCCACCATTTTTTAAACTCAGGTTTTAAGTTCAGGTTAACAACTAAACAATTGGAAAATAGTCAAGCTGCTTCATAGTTTAGACAATGAAGTTTACTAATTACACTCTAAACTCAACAGTGTCATAAGATCATTTTTCCTTCAAGCGTCTGCAGAGTGGAAAACTTGTCTGAGTTTTTTTCTAGATCAGTAGACTCTTTGTTACAGTTTTACAGTGAGTGCCCATGGAGGAAGGAAAAGATCCAAAAGTCAGACTTATGTAAGAAGGTATGTGACACTAGTTGCCAAAGACAATCGGGATGTGGTTAGAACACACAGAAGGAAGAACAATTACAAGAAGACTTTTTAAAAAATTCTACATCAATTAGGAAATCAAAGTTAAAAATAACATATTGCCCATTTTATTAAATCAAGATCTAGCAAACATCAGATGCACTCACCAAATGACCAGACATCAGATTTACTGCTGTACTTATTGAAAAGAAAAACTTCAGGAGGGGACCACTTGATTGGGAACTTGGCTCCAAAAGAACTGACATACTCATCATCCAAAACATACCTACAGTTATCAGATTCAAAGCACATTGTGTTAATTACTTCCAAGCTCTATTTACTTCAAATCCCTTTAGTTAACTCTAAGTTGTTAAAAGACAAAGTATTTTACCCTAGAAAGCTTGTGGACACCTTCTTGTTAGTAGAGTGTGAAAGTGCCCTTGATAATGTTTCCTCCCCAAATCATGTTTCAGTTGTGTTTGTTTTATGTGGATCTCTGAAAATCAGAATGCTGCTTCAGTTCAAAACATGGCTCACCATTTATGTTAATTATGGTAAACTCTTGACTCTACAAAGAAGCATGCTAACAACCAAGATTATAAAAAGGAAATAAAAGACCACTCTTCCCAGGGGTGGGGAAAACAAAAACCACTCTCCTTGAAATGGAAATGAATGATTCAAAGTTGGATGTCGAATTTCCTTCCATGTTTATGTTTTTTTGTGAGGCATAGAGAAGGGGAGAAAGTAAAAGTATATGAACATAATGCTTCTGATGTGACAAATCTCTAATGCATTAGAATGGCCCTATATGGAAAGAAATCAAGAATAACTACCATCTCCTTAAAATAATAATAAGTTGAACCCTCTCTCTTTTTTGAGAGTTGTATGCAGGGATGTCCAAATGTGAGAAATTGGGGAGAAGAGACAAAAATTAACTTGTGCTTGTTGCCCCTTAAATATACAATATAGTGTTTTCACAGCATTTATTAATGCTGCCTCTACACTCCCACTTTTCTTTTTAATATACACTACCTCCCTCCACCAGTCAGCGCTTTATTGAGTCAGAGGTCATTCTACTTAGGTAAAGAATCAGTAACAGAAAACAAAGAGAGAAAAGCCATTGTCTATAGATTTTGAATTTTTCAAGTCTAGGCTCTTCAGAGAAGAAATATTGAGTTATTAACAAAATATCTTGGAAAATGGGCCATGAACAGGAGTGAGATCTCACTACCACCGTCCCTATTACCACCACTATCTAGAAAAAGATCTCTTGAGCTAGAGGAATGGGGGAAATAGAAGGGAAAGAAAAGGGGAGTACTAGACATTAGTAGGTCAGTGGGTTAGGATCCTTTATCTTGTACCCTATAAGGGCTGCCCAAGTCACACAGCAGAGAAAGAAGCTCCTAGTCCCACATTAGGTTGGTGGGATTTAAAAGTGAAACAGAACCTGTGCTCTTTTCCCTTGGAAAGGCAGAAAGATGCCAATGAACAAATGGCTGTGAATGTGCCTAGGTAAATGAGATCTGAGATCCCACCATGGATTTTTGTAATCATAAAGAATGCTGACCAGGTGAGACTGCTCACGCCTGTAATCCCAGCACTTTGGGAGGCCGAGGTGGGTGGATATTTGAGGTCAGGAGTTCAAGACCAGCCTGGCCAACATGGTGAAACCCTGTCTCTACCAAAAATTTAAAGGCGTGGTGGCATGTGCCTGTAGTACCAGCTACTTGGAGGGCTAAGGCAGAAGGATAGCTTGAGTCTGGGAAGTCAAGGCTGCAGTGAGCCAAGGGAGCACCACTGCACTCCAGCCTGGGCAACAGAGCAAGACTCTGTCGAAAAAAAAAAAATGCCAGTTCTGAAGGAATCTTGCAGAAAAAAATCAGTATGGGTTAGCAGTTACCTGTTTGAGTAGCCAGCCAAAGACAAGACTGGAGGATGGTGGCCGCAAGGATGCCATGCACACGGATAACAAAAGGACCAGTAAGCCACCTTCCTACCAGTACGATAGCCCCACGAGACCAAGAACTTTGACTTTGAAGCTTAGGGAAGCCAGAGAAAAACCCCAAATTCCCTGGAATTATATCTCTAGCACCATCCCAAAAAAGGATGCTCAAAATTTAAACTATATTGAGTCGTAGAAAAATATGGCTAAATTTTTCACACTCTTGAATTGTAGACTTAGAGTCAACTACTATACTTAATAATAGAAATGTTTGGTGAGGACATAGAAAAATCAGAGCTGAGAAAACAAATGTATTTATTTTTCTCCCAAAAACATATGTATATCAGAAATGCTTTTTTCTTCACCTTTCTCAGTGGACCGAGAAATTCCGTTTTTAATTTAAAAATATACCATAGTTTTCTTAAAAGATGCGAATAGTCCACAGTAAACATTTACCTCACAGCTAAAATTGTACATGTCCTAAAATTCAAAGTGGGTCAGTAGGCCATACAACCAGGCCTACAACCTAGGAAGATAAAAACACAGTCTGCAGCATCTTCAGTTTATCAGTAAACAAATGTAAGATTCCCTCTTATGAGTAAACAAACAAACAAAATACATATATATATACATAGCACGTACCTTGTCATTCCAAAGTCCGAAATTTTTACTGTGCATGTTGAACTGACCAAACAATTCCTTGCCGCCTATGGAAAGAAGAATCCAAGTTTGAATACAAGTTTTTATTTCAAGAGTTTTTCCTCTCCTCTTCCTTAGGTTATTTGGACCCCACGCTACCTGTCTGTGTGGACAGCCAAGTCATTTTTATGGTGATATCCATCAATGGTATAGATTCAATAGTTTGCCTTCGTATTTTTTTTGAGACAAGATCTGGCTCTGTCGCCCAGGCTGGAGTATAATGGCACCATGTTGGTTTACTGCAAACTTCCCCTCCTGGGGTCAAACCATCCTCCCACTTTAGCCTCTTAAGTAGCTGGTACTACAGGCACACACAACCATGCCCAGTTAATTTTTATATTTTTGGTAGAGATGGGGTTTCACTATGTTGCCCACACTGGTCTTGAACTCCTGGGCTCAAATGATCCACCCACCTTGGCTTCCCAAAGTGCTGGGATTACAGGAGTGAGCCACCAGGCCCAGCCTGCCCTCAATTCAATCTGAAAGATGATACAACTATAAATCTTGGCATAAAAATAGTGTATATTTGTTAACATCTTTATAGGAAAGCCCAAAATACATAACAGATAAGGCATATTGATTTTATATCTTTGGGATCTCTAATACATAATAAAAATTAAGAAAAGATAATTCAACACTGATTTCACTCAAGATAATTATTTACAGTGATAATTTCATATTTCTTAAAATTATCACAATGAACTGAATATATGCTATGTAGAAACAATGTATTTGAGGCCAAAGCAATTCATTCTCAGCAACTTAATCAAGAAAATCATTGATTTGATTATTTAGCCTCATGTAGGTAAACTAGATAAAATATTTGATAGAATTTTCCTCTTTTCAGCTAATTTGTGGTTCAATTAGTTAAGCAACAAAAGCAAGAAACTTGAAATAATAAATCACAAGGAACCAGTTTAGAAGATGCCAGCAAGTCCTAGCAATGACCAAACCACAAGAAAAGTTCTTGATGGGGAAAAGACTCATTGTTCACTGACATATTTTAAGTAGCATATAGGGAGATAAAATAGAACACAAAAGAAAATGAGCAAATAAGGGAAAAAACAGGAACAGGAGGGCCTGTCAGAATCCACTTGGAGCAAATAAAATGACCAGAACTGTCACCCAATTGTTATCCGCAAAGACAAACCTGCACAGACTAGGAAAGTGAGCCAGTTGGAGTTGATACCGTATTCACCCATTCAAAAATTTGCTCATTTCTCCTAGGTGCTGGATACCGGGAAATGTGCCTTTAGGAAATTTTTTTTAATGATCTATCTCTGTAATAGCAATAGTTAACATTGCTGAGCTCCTCTACATGCTAGACACTGTTTATTAATTCATGTAATTCTCCCAACAAACCCATACGAGGAAGGTGCTATAATTAATACCACTTCACTGGTTAACTAGCTTGCCCAAGCTCTCACAGCTAGTAAAAAACAGTATTTCAACCCAGCTAGCCTGGCTCTAGAGTAGTCGTTCTCAACCTCAACTTCACATGGGGCTCATCAGGGGAATTTTCAAAAAACATTGATGCCTGGGTTTCAGCCACAGAGATTCTGATTTAGTTGGTCTGGGGTATGGCCTGGCTATTGCAATTTTTCTAAAAGCTTCCAAGTAATTGTAATGCATACCAAAGTTTGAAGTTTGAGAATGACTGTTTGAAACCTATGTTCTCAATCACTGCATGGTATCTCAGACATCTAGGCCTTGATCTCAAAGACTCTAAGTCTCATAAGATAGACTCTAGTATTTGTGTAAACGATGTAAATAATTAACTATTGGGTGACGCAGTAAATAGCAAATGCCCTGAGTGTTCCAAGCCACGGGTAGGATAAGCATACTTCCCAAGGTGTGCTGAGGCCAATGTAACTATGCCCCCTTTTTCTCCCCAAAATACTCCAGCCTGTACAGTGAGTAATATGATCACTTTGATCATGTGTGATGGAAGCACAGAATTACTTCCAAGGGGCAATATCAGGGATTTCTCATAGACTTCTCCAATTCTCATTTGAGTTAATTTTTAGATTTCAAAATCAGACATGGAAGGACATAAGGACATCAAGGGAATAGTGTGAATATCATGAATAAATGTGGAATGGACAGAAAGTGTTACTTAAGGGGAGGTAGCAATGCAGGGAAGCAGTGCTGTTAGCATATGGTTTGGGTAAGACAATCATTTATTTAAATAGGAATGTTCTGAGCATTACAGAAAAAAATAATGTAGCATTCCTAGTCTTTTCAATAATGCCAGCAGTGCTCTTGCAATCCTGTTAGGGCCAAACTACCTCCACGTCAGGAGCCGTTATGCCCCTAGGTGACATTCTTTAGATAAAGTTGGAGACTAAAACTGGAAATTGTTCTTCACTGTTGTATCTCCAGTGCTTAGCAGAATGCTTGGCATATACTAGGCACTCGATACATGTTTGATTATGGCTTGAAAGGGAAAAAGGTGGAAGGAAAGAAAGAAGAAGGAAGAGAAGGAAGAAGGGAGAATGGAAAGGAAAGGAAATCAGTTTTAGTCACATGATAAGTTAGGTGGTTAATTAGTTCAAGGCATAGAGTAAAGCCTTACTTGACTATGAAATCACCTTTGCAAAATTATGACTGAGAACCTAACTGACTCCATCTTGCTTTTAACCTCCAAACTGTCCTTGTTCATTCCTGGGCATAGGCTAAACTAACTTTGGGTGGAATTTATAGTTTATAGTTTAAAATGAAGATGATAACAGCCCTTTCCCAAACAAACCTCCCTCTTGCCTGGGGACTAGACTTCCTTTGTAGGACTAACAAATTAGCCACAAGATTAGAAATTATGGTCTAGGAGTCAGACAGCTGGAGGCTACAAGATTCTGACTCTCCTTAAACTGCTCCTAAGATCAGTGCTTGAGCTATTTTGCAGGCCCTGCACTTGATGGATCAGCTAGCACCACCCAGATCGATTAACTGGCTCACCTGATCTTCTGGCCCCCACCCAGGAACTGACTCAGCATGAGGACAGCTTCAACTTCCAATGGTTTCATCTCCTACCTAACCAATCAGCTCTCCTGGCTCACTGGCTTCCCCCCACCCACCAAATTGTCCTTAAAAACTCTGATCCCCATATGCTCGGGGAGACTGATTTGAGTAATAATAAAACTCCAGTCTCCTGCACAGTCGGTTCTATGTGAATTACTCTTTCTCTATTGCAGTTCCCCTGTCCTGATAAATGGGCTCTGTCTAGGCAGCAGGCAAGGTGAACCCATTGGGTCTTTACAGCAACAGCATCAATGCGCAATTAAAAACAAAGTTACATTTTACAACAAATTGCATGAATAGGTAAATGTTTAAAAATTAAATCAAGGATACATTATTCAAAGTATTGAAAGTAATTGTCACATCCTTCTGAATATTGGTACGATACATTTTAAAAAGTAAATTTGCACCATACTTACCAAATCCCTATGAATATAGCCATTCCTCTCCAGATATTCCATTCCTTCACATATATCCTGGCATACACTCAGTAGCATTTCCTTTCTAAGCTTTCCTTTATTCTCCCTGAGATAGTTAAGCAGGCAGCCATTTTCCATGAACTCTGTCACAATGTAAAGGGGCTTCCACTGTGTACAGACCCCATAAAGTTGCACTAGCTTTGAATGAGATAATTTCCTGGTGAAGAAAAACATACACCAGTGAGCAGAATTGTGTTTGCATTTTAAAATGTTTGAACACAACCGGTAATATTTACCATCTATTTATCACTCTCATTATCAAGATAAGATGAAAATCCACCCAAACACAGAGAAAGTAATGCAGCTTCCTTGCCACTTAATGCACTGAGAATGTGGGGTCAAGAGTTTAAGTGGTAATGCCAAACGCAGTGTGGAAACAGAATATTACATGCACCACATTCTACGTGTCAGCATTTTATTTTTCTCTTCTTCATTTTATAATCCTTTTGTTTCTAAACGCTGTTTATCCGTTGAGCAGATTTCCTTTCCTGTTCCTTGAATTCCAGCTTTCCTACCTGCAGCTGTCCAGATGAAAAATTTTGGACAGACAAGAGGGAGGAAAGAGTGACTAAAAAAAGAAAACAAAAATTAAATTCTAAAGCATGAAGTTCTTTAAAAGGAAATTTTTAGATAAAGTTGGAAACTAAAAAACATTTACCAACATGAAAACTTGCAGTGCACACACACACACACACGCGCGCCTTGAATGTTGCCTATTAAAATATACCCAGAACTTTTTAGTTATCTAGACTTCAAAAGTTTACTGGTTTTGTGCACGTGTGTGTGGAATATTATATTCAATCTCTAAAAGCCTTTTATACCAACTAGTCATCATGGAAAATAATATTCAAATTAACACTTATAATTTTAGAAGACGTACCTTGTGTCAAATGTGCCTTGAAAATTTATTGCTTCTTTTCATTCTTTTCATTCATAAATGTAAAATAAAATCAGTGACTTGGGAAGACTGTGTACCTTAACACAATGTATATGAATGATTTTTGACTCATTATCATAAAATTAGCTTATGAAAACACTCCAGTTAATGTGAAAGAGAGGCATTCAGAGAACTTAACATTATCTTAATTTGGAGATATATGTATATGTATTATATTTTGTCTGATTTACTTTTTGAATTAATAAAGTGTACTTTCAGTTAAGGGATGCAGTTTACATGTATATAGCGTAAGTGCAGAAAAGCAAGTCTTGAGATGAAATATTAATTTGCCACAGGAAATCCACCAAGTTGATACCCACATGGAAGCATCTGAGAATTGAAACATTACTGCATTTCCTTATCAAGATCACTGGTAAAAATCTAACAGAAATAAGGCAAACCTTTATCAGAAATCAGGCAAAGACAAACTCTCATATGATTCAGTCTAACAAATATGACAAATATTTCTCACAAGCACAGAAAGATGCAAATGGAAAACCTACATTCTTGTATGTTATAACTCTAGGACTTCTTAATACACATTATTTCTCAGTTTAGAGAAGTATGTGGGATTCATCATAGTCCAAACACACATTTAAATTCATTTAAATTTGTTATTTAAATATTTTCAGACCCTTTACAGCCTTCTCCAGTTCTCCTTTTCTAATTATTCTCTTTCCCTAAGTAATTGCATTAAGTTTCAGGGTTTTAAATATCATCTCTGGTGACCACTCTCAAGTTAATACCCTCCACTCTGACCTTTTTTCTGAACTCCAGACTCATATATTTACCTCACTACTTGATCACACCTAATAAATAACAGTCTTCTTAAATCCAACATGTCCAAAGCAGAATTCTTAATTTTTTCCCCTAAACCTGTTTGGTCTTCCCCCATCTTTGTAAATGGTGCCACTCTTTGCCTAATATAATAATGTACACCAAAACCTTAGCATCATCTTTGTTCCTCTGGTTTCTTCCGACTACCTACCACATTCAATTTATCAGCAAGTCTTGATGACTTTATCTCAAAAATGTATCCTGAAACAATTCTCCTCTTTCCGTCTTTTGCCCTCTAACATATATTAATTTTCCAAGAGTGTGTTGATAATTATGTTCATTAAGGTCACGTTTTTTGTGCCCAGACAGTTCACAGTTTTGATTTCAATTAGAAGCTCTAATGATGTTTTGTTGTGGGACTGCAGGCAAATTACATAATGTAAACCAAAAATAAAATTCTAAGCCCCTAACCATCTCAATGGACTCCTCCTCTTAGCCAAGGGCATTCCAAAGTTAACCTGCAAAACTAGTTCAGGCCACGATGGGAAGAGGGAGTTGGACATGCCTCATAACCATTAACATCAACATAGACATTGAGACTGATAGAAAAGACTCTTCAAGTCTAATAAGAAACATTTACCTTCTATTTTCCCTGAAACCTTCTACCTGGAAGTTTCATCTGCATAATAAACACAGACCATCTGTGCTGGTCTCCACAATTCTTTATAGTAACCCAGACATTCCTTTCCATTGATTTCAGTTCTTTGGATAATAACTCAACCAACTGTCAATCAGAAAAACTTTGAATCTGCCTATGACTTGGAAGCCCCGACTAATATGGACAGGAGACAGGGAAATATTGGGTAGAAGAAGGCAGTTTCCCCAGGAGAGTCCTCACCCTCAAGCCTAGATACCCATGGCCATAAATGAGAACAGCCATTCCTGTTTTTGTGCCCCAAAAGTTGCTTTTTGACCCAAAACGTCCCCATCCTGTACCCATATAAATCACAAACTCCAGGTCCAAAAACAGATGAGGAGACGAATAGACAAACAGCAGAATGGTAGAGCAGAGGAGGGGAGAAGAGAAGAAACATCAGGAGGAGTTTGGCTGGACCAGTTAGAGAATTGGCTGTTGGATGGCCAAACTCCAGGGGAAGATCATCTTCCCAACCCATCCCCTGTCCAGCTTCCCATCCATCCTGCTGAGAGCCACCTCCAACACTCAATACAACCCCACATTCATCCTTCAAGTTTGTGTGTGACCCAATCTTCCAGAACACTGGACAAGAGCTTGAGATACACAAAGCTGTCACACTGGCCCCCTGCCCTTGCAAAAAGGCAGAGGGTCCACTGAGTTGGTTAACCCTTAAGCCATCTGTGGATCACAAGGCTAAAAGAGCACACTGTAACACGGGCCGACTTGGGCTTTGGGTGTTGCAGACACCCAACCCTAGATGCTGCTGTTGGGTTAGAGACCAAAAGCACTCACCCTGATTCCTGCACCTGCCCATCTGCATGCTCCCTATCCTGTAAAAGGTTTGAGATCATGGTGGCTGAACAGAGAGCCACACCTCTGTTGCATGTCCTGCAAGTGGGGGCCAGAAAACTCTCCTGTTTCACCACTCCCTGTTGTCCTGCCTTTCCCGACCAAACCAATGTACATCTTACATGGATGGATTGATGTCTTATGTCTTCCTAAAATGTGTAAAGCCATTTTTACATTTTTGCAGGCCAATCACCTTGGGCACATATCATCAGGACCTCCTGAGGCTGTCATGGGCATGTCCTTAACCTTGGCCAAGTAAACTCTTAAATTAATTGAGCCTTGTCTCAGATACATTTTGGTTTGTAATAAGCCTTCTAAATTTTCTCTTTCTTGTCTATAAAACTGGGATCTTAATAGAAGCTATCTCTTGGAATTGTGGTGAGGATTCATTAACTCATTCAATAATCCATAAATGTCTTTTAAGCACCAACTACATGCTAGTCATCCTTTTAACACTCACCAGGTTAAACAGGACAAATAAATAAAAGGTTCTATTATTAGAGAGCTTGCAAGCTAGTGGGGGAGAAATAAAACTACCCAGGAAGCTTCAGAATATGACAAGGACTTTGATGGAACTAACACAAGGCGATACAACAGAAAGCATTTGGCAGTGGGTATGCCAGCTTAAACAGAGTAGTCAGAGGAGACCTCCTGAAAGAGGTGGTATTTAAACCACACACGGAAAGGAGCTAATATGTGCAAAGCTGTGTGTCCTTGGTAGATAGTATGTCAGTGCACGTCAACTATTTTAAAGATAAATATATTTGCAATAGGATGTTAGAATGGAAGATTTTCTGCCTCACTTTTTAGAAATCAGGGATGTGTGTGTGTGTGTGTGTGTGTGTGTATGACAGGGTCTCACTCTGTCACTCAGGCTGGAGTGCAGTGGTGCCATCATCATGGCTCACTCTAGCCTCAACTTGTTGAGTTCAATTGATCCTCCCACCTCAGCCTCCTGAGTAGCTGGGATTATAGGTGCTCACTACCATGCCTGGCTAGTTTTTTTGTTTTTTTGTAGAGACGGGGTTTCACCACGTTACCTAGGTTGGTTTCAAACTCCTAGGCTCAAGTGATCCTCCCACATTGGCCTCCCAAAATGAATCGGGGGAAATATTGTCCTCAAAGATCCTGACCTCAAATGCCCAATGAGGCTTGTACCTTTCAAGAATTCTCTCATTCGGACATTAAACATCTTCAATTCTTTCTTGTTTGATAGAGATTCAAATATGGTTTTAACTCCCCCTGAATCACTTGTCTCCCATTCATTCTTTTTTTATTATGCCTATTTAATCCAAAGCAGGAATACAATTTTTGTCCTTTAGGTGTAGAAAAACCATGGTAAGATGTAGACAGCTACAGGAAGCAAAGGCCAGCTAGAGATAGGTGCCTGAGGCACCTAGGGACACAAAAACATCATTGGGAAGCTGGTGTCACTGCAAAATTGTGTTTGTAACAACTTCTCTTGGAATTCATTCTATTGTAAGTGAATGGAAAGGATATTTTGATAGGACCCCCAGGGTATGGGTTGAGAGCCCCAAGGGATACACTTACTTTGCCTTTGAAAGAGAATAGGTTCAGTTAATCTCCTCTGATTGTTGTTTGCTTATTTGTTTGTTTGTTTGTTTTTCTAGTTGGAGTCTACAAGTGTGGGTCAGAACTAAACTTCTCTGGGAAACAGAGCAGAATCTAAATACTGCCATCTGGAGTTTTTCTTCTTCACAGCATTGTTGTTCCTCTAAATAAACATTGAACAAATATTTAAAGAATGTTAACTTAAACTATGGTCAAATTATTGGCCTGTCCTGGCCCAGCTCAGGTTGTTACAGTTAATGAGCCACAGAAATGGGTTCAACTGAGTCAAAATGCTGTCCTGGGAAATCACAGAAGAGTTGTGTCCAATGGTCTACAAAGAGCCACTTCTTTTAAAGCTCTGGACACTTATATCCTCTGAAAGCAAATACTGTTTTATCCTTAAAAAAAAACATTAACTCTTTTTGGCCACTGGAGGATGCCCTTTCAAAAGATGAGTAGTATATCACTACTAAGACATAACCATCATTTTTGCTTCTGGGAAAAGGAGAAAAAAAACAGTACTTGTAAAGTACCTATTCTTGAGCTGAAAAGAACACGCTTGTTACTGATACCAACAGGAGGCAGGGAAATACTAGGTAGAAGAGGGCAGTTCCCCAGAAAAATCCCCACCTTCAAGCCTGGAAACCTGTAGCCCTAAATGGGAACAGGCATTTTTATTTTTGTGCCCAGATGTTGCCCTTTCCAAGACTGTTCTAGCCTGCCACACCCCTGTCCTGTGCCCATATAAACCCCAAGCTCCATTGGCAGGTGACAGAGCAGTGCAGCACAGAAGAAGAGAAGAGGAGGAGTGTCTGAACATTGAGGAGTTCTGCTGGGGGCGGTTAGAGATTGGCTGCAGAACAGTCGAACTCCCAGGGAAGATCATCTTCCCACTCCATCCCCTTTCCAGTTCCCCATCCATCCCGCTGAGAGCCACCTCAATAAAATCTCTGCATTCACCATCTTTCAAGTCCGTGTGACCTGATTCTTCCTGGGTGCCATACAAGGACCCAGGTATCGAGAGGGCAGGATGCAAAAGGCTGTCACCCTGACTTTCCACTGAAGTGGTTAACACTTAGCCATCTGCAGATGGAAAAGTTAAAAGAGCAATGTAACACCTCCAGACACTGTCATGGGGCTGGAGCCCAAAAGCGCTCACTCTGGCTCACCTGCATGCTCTCCATCCCGTAAAGGGTTTGAGCACACAGTAGCTGAGTAAATGAGCCACCCCCTTCACAAGGAGTTCTGCAAAGGTGTCAGGGGAGTTCTCCTGTCTCATCACTTACATAAATTCTCTTATTTAATTCACACATTGATCCAGTGAGGTAGGTACTCTCATCCCATTTTATACATGAGGACATTGAGGTTTGGAAATACGAAATAATTCACCCAGGTCACACAGAGATCAAATAAGGTACCTGGGTTACACAACGAGCTTGAGCAAAGTTGTGACACAAATCCAGGTGTGGCTGCCTCCAAAGCTCATGTTGTTTCCATGACACCAGGGCATGATATTTATCAGTGTGTTGTTTATACGTACATCATCACTTTGGCCTCTTCAATGAAATCCTCTTCAGACATGGAGCCTTCATTGATGGCCTTGATAGCTACCTGGATATGTGACCGCCATTCACCTAAATGGACCACTCCAAATTGACCACTTCCAATCTCCTTTATAAAAGCCAACTCAGATGGATCTATCTCCCACTTTTCTGAAAAAGTAAAACATCCATGTGACAAGTAGAAAGAAAGAATGCTAAAATATTAGGGCTGGGAAAAGTTTAGGAATTATCTATTATTTGACAGAGAGGTTAAAAAATGTATAAAGTGTAGAGGATCTGAAGCCATTTTAATACTCTATGACTTAAATGTAATTCAAGAACTCAAGTTTCAAAACACAAACTTTATTTATTTGGTGATGTTTGTATAACAAATTAAGGATAGCAAAACGCACTCTCTGCTCCCAAAGAGAACAGTGAACACACTTCTGTGCCTCTCTAAACTAAACCTACCAAAACTAGACCTGGGACCCAAAATATTTATGTTCCCAGTCTGGTTTTTTTTTCCTGGTGAGTAAACTTGTAAGGTAAATAAAACTGTGATTTCAGTTCCTCCTGTTGTTCTTCTCACTCCATCCCTAAAGGGCTTTTCTCCCTTGGTATCTTTTCTTCTTAGGGAAAAGTCCAATGAAATCATTTAATAAATTCAGTGTTAGAAATCTAACCCACATATATCTAAGAGTATATCTGAAGTGAAATTTTTACTGTATATTTCTCATTTTATAGAAGCAAATTGGGAAAAAATAAACTGTTTTTATTTTATTTTTTTTAATTTATTTATTATTATTATACTTTAAGTTGTAGGGTACATGTGCATAACGTGCAGGTTTGTTACATATGTATACTTGTGCCATGTTGGTGTGCTGCACCCATCAACTCATCATTTACATCAGGTATAACTCCCAATGCAATCCCTCCCCCTCCCCCCTCCCCATGATAGGCCCCTGTGTGTGATGTTCCCCTTCCTGAGTCCAAGTGATCTCATTGTTCAGTTCCCACCTATGAGTGAGAACATGCGGTGTTTGGTTTTCTGTTCTTGTGATAGTTTGCTAAGAATGGTGGTTTCCAGCTGCATCCATGTCCCTACAAAGGACGCAAACTCATCCTTTTTGATGGCTGCATAGTATTCCATGGTGTATATGTGCCACATTTTCTTAATCCAATCTGTCACTGATGGACATTTGGGTTGATTCCAAGTCTTTGCTATTGTGAATAGTGCTGCAATAAACATATGTGTGCATGTGTCTTTATAGCAGCATAATTTATAATCCTTTGGGTATATACCCAGTAATGGGATGGCTGGGTCATATGGTACATCTAGTTCTAGATCCTTGAGGAATCGCCATACTGTTTTCCATAATGGTTGAACTAGTTTACAATCCCACCAACAGTGTAAAAGTGTTCCTATTTCTCCACATCCTCTCCAGCACCTGTTGTTTCCTGACTTTTGAATGATCGCCATTCTAACTGGTGTGAGATGGTATCTCATTGTGGTTTTGATTTGCATTTCTCTGATGGCCAGTGATGATGAGCATTTTTTCATGTGTCTGTTGGCTGTATGAATGTCTTCTTTTGAGAAATGTCTGTTCATATCCTTTGCCCACTTTTTCATGGGCAAAGACTTCATGTCTAAAACACCAAAAGCAACGGCAGCAAAAGCCAAAATTGACAAATGGGATCTCATTAAATTAAAGAGCTTCTGCACAGCAAAAGAAACTACCATCAGAGTGAACAGGCAACCTACAGAATGGGAGAAAATTTTTGCAATCTACTCATCTGACAAAGGGCTAATATCCAGAACCTACAAAGAACTCAAACAAATTTACAAGAAAAAAACAAACAACCCCAATAAACTGTTTTTAAAATAACCTTCTTGAAAACTGTGCCAAACTTAATGGTTTAGGGTCTCCTTTTTATACAGCAATACCACCATCTGCTGGAACTTTCGAATAATGCATTTAAAAGAATTAAAGAATTGTAAAATCTGATAGTCCCTTCTACCAGCTGTGCAAAGTATTCCCCCTCCCTATAGAAGGTATGTTTTATTTTATTATTATTATTATTATTATTAATTTTTTTTGGAGACAGTCTCACTCTGTCACCCAGGCTGGAGTGCAGTGGCGCAATCTCAGCTCACTGCAAGCTCCACCTCTTAGGTTCAAGTGATTCTCCTGCCTCGGCCTCCCAAGTAGTTGGGATTACAGGCATGCCACCACGCCTTGCTAATTTTTTATATTTTTGGTAGAGATAAGGTCTCACCACGTTGCCTAGGCTGGTCTCAAACTCCTGAGCCCACCTCAGTCTCCCAAACTGCTAGGATTATAGGCATGAGCCCCACACCAGGCCTCATAGGTATGTTTTAAAAGTAACATGGGAGGATATATTCATGGCCTTCGAATTGGCATGCATTTATTCAACAGAATATAACCACAAAGAAAAATATTGATAAATTATACTTCATAAAACTTCCGTTCATCAAAAATACCCTCATTAAGAAAGTAAAAAGTTAAGCCACAGAAGATATTTCTAAAATATACAACCAACATAGAATTCTTATTCTGAATATAAATAAATCAACTAGAGGAGACATATACCCTAACTTTTTTAAGGGTAAAAAATTTGAATGGAGTATTCTCTCATGAAGTCAATATCCAAATGGCCACTAAGCCAAATTGATCAAAATAATTAGTCATCAGGGAAATGTAAATTTAGACCATAATGAGATACTACTACACACCAGATTGGCTAACATGTTAAAAAAAAAAAAAAAAAAAAAACCTAGAATAAAATATTGGCAAGGGCAAAGGTATGGAGCCACTAGAACTTATATATAGTTGATAGGAGTGTAATTTGGTGTAAGCTCTTTAGAAAACTGACTGTATCTACTAAATCTAAACATATGCATAGCCTATGACCCAGCAGGTCTACACTTAGGCACATATCCAACATATACTGGAATGTAAATGTGCACTTAACTTCATCAAAACACACACAGAAATGTTCTTAACAATATTATTTGTAAGAGCCAAAAATTGGTAACAACCCGAATGGCCATCTACAATAAGCACAGCTAAATAAGCTGTGGTATGTCATGCAGTATAGCACAGCACCACAGTGAAAATAAACCAGCCCTACCCAGAACCATGGATGAAATTCACAGATGTAATGAGGTGAGGAGGAAATCAGACACAAAAAAATGCAGTGTCCAATTCTGTTTATATAACGTAATCAAACCAGACAAAACAAATCGAGCTATAGACTTATGACTTATGAGTTGTACACTATTCTGTTTGTTTTTAAATTTTTTAAGTTTATTTTTAAGAAATAAAAAAGAACCATGTTTAACTTAAGTAAATTGTTAATAGTAGAACTTTGAATTATATATACTATCTGTGGGCCAGAGGACTAATACAGGCAACAATAATAGCCAGAAATCCTGCTTCCATCCCACTTAACTTAATGAGATCCTGAGTCCCAGTTACTTGTTTCCCAATATAATTGTGTTATTAATTTTTTTTCAGTATATTCTGAATCCCACTACTGAGAGAAGTTTAAAGGAATAAAATGTCACCAAATTAGAAAATAGGATTCCCTGGCACTTACTTATTCTCACAGATTTACAAATACCACATTTGCTAGAAAGTGGTTCAAATTGAACTTTGTGCATGTTCTGTTAGAAAAAAAGAAAAAGATGAAGAAGATACTTTGAGCAGCTCTTTTTAGTAGCTTCTCTTGGAGAGGAATCATTTCCCAGGCACCCTTGTAACCAAAGAACAACAACCCAAATATCCAAATGAAAAGAATTGTAATTTATCAAAAGGGTGAAGATTAAGGCTCCTGGTAATGTGACAGTAAAATCTGAAGTAAAACTGAAGCATTTCTCCCCAAACTTTAAATTGTCCTTATGAGATGTACGTATTTAAACGGTCTCAGAAGGATGATGTAAACTTTGAGAAGAAATGTTTCTAGATAGACCTTTCAGAAGTGCTGATAGTTCAAAGAATCAATAGGGAACTTAGAGTAGATTCTTTTTTTTCTCTCTCTCTCTTTTTTGAGACAGAGTCTCACTCTACTGTCCAGGCTGGAGTGCAGTGGCATGATCCTGGTGTAACCTCTGCAGTGTAACCTCTGCCTCCTGGGTTCAAGCGATTCTCCTGCCTCAGCCTCCCAAGTAGCTGGGATTACAGGCACCAAACCCAGCTAATTTTTTGTATTTTTAGTAGAGGCAGGGTATCACCATTTTGGCCAGGGTTGTCTTGAACCCCTGACCTAAGGTGATCCACCCACCTTGGCCTCCCAAAGTGCTAGGATTACAGGTGTGAGCCACCGCACCCAGTCGGACTAGATTCTTTACTACTGGATTTGCTATTTTACTTCAGCATGTGTGCACACTTTACCGTAGCTAAACCCAGCTGTGGCTGGTAAACAACTGCCCATCAGCCCAACTGGATATCGGAGACGGGTCATGAGACCTAAGGAGAAAGAGAAATCAATATTTCAAGCCTAGTTGCTAATACAGAAGAAAGAATGAAATATACTAGAAGATAGTATCATTCTTTAAATAATTAAATAACTGGTACAAAATTCATTGTACCAGTTAGTCCATTTGCTTATTTTCCCATTTGAAAAACATTTTCCAAAAAAAAAAAAAAATGCTCATTGTATACAATTTAAAGAATCTAAGAAAGTATAAAGACGACCCCAAAAGATCCCTCACAAAATCTTAGTATCCACAGATAGATTGTTATCATCTCGGTGAACATTTTTGCAAAAATCTCTATGTGCATAATTGAAAACATGAACACATCCAATATATTTTACAGAAGTATAAATATTTTGTTAAAAACTTTTTGCACTATGCACGTAATTGATATATGTCATTGACTATAAACAGAGCTTAAATTTATTTCCAAGATTTCACTATTATAAAATATGCCATATGTCCTTGAACATACATTTGTCTGTACTTCTCAAATTATCACCTTATAAAATGTGATTTCCAGGTCAAAGAGTGCCCAGAAAGGCTATACTAATTTGTTCAACCACCAACGGTGTTGAAGTGTGCCCATTTTCTATACTCTTTTTTTTTTTTTTTTTTTTTAATGCATGGTAGAGTAAATGAGACTTCATTTGGTTCAGTAAACACATAGAATTCTATACATTAAATGTCTCTTTTTTTCCTTTCAGTGACCCACTTAGGCATATACCTTACATTTCAACTTAGTTTAATAATCATTTATTATTTATTTATTCAACTAATATTTGTTAAAAGCCTGGTTTGTACTTTTAATAAAAGCTTTTAATAAAACACTATCTAGATGTTGGGAGACAGTAGAGAACAAGGCTGATGATTCCTGCTCTCATGAAGATTACATTCTAGTGAGAGGAAGAGAAAATAACAAGTGCACGCACACACAAGAAAAAGTAGATGATGATGATTCAGTGCAAGGCAGACCAGATAACATACAGTTACATTAGAGTGGGTGCTCAGGAAAGGCCTTTCTGACAAGATGACAGCTCTGCCCACGTTGACTGACGAAGAGCCTTCCAGGCAGATGGAACAACATGTGCAAATGCTGGAAGACAGAAACGAGCTTGACCAGTGTAACAACAAAAAGAAGCATATATTAAGTGCCTATTGTGTGCAAGGCGCTCTTCTAGGTAGATTCCCAAAGATCACAGCAGATTCCAAGATTAGTAAAATGAGGACTCTGCCCACAGGGAGCTCTATCTCAGTGCAGGAAGACACGCAAAGAGAGGCCATTCTAATGTGAAAGGAATAAGTATTGTGCTGGAGATGCATATAGGGTGCCTTGGGACGTAGAGAAAGAGCACTTAACACATTGTTGGACTCAAAGAAGTCTTCGGAGGAAATGACTGAGATGAAACTAAAACATGGAGTTAACCCATGTGGAGAAACTAGCAAGGACCCTACTTTCTAAGTAGAGGTAACAGCATGAGATGAAACTTAGAAATGTGAAGCATGATGGTGGGCACTTGAGGTAGTAGAGCCAGATAAATTACACTGGAGAGGTAAGCAGTATTCTGGGTATGATGGGCCTCATAAGCCGTACTAGGGAGCATTACATTTTCCTGCAGGTGAGAGGAAGCTATTGAAAAGTCCCAAGTTAGGAGGGCACAGTCAGATTTACATTTCTTTTTCTTTTCTTCTACTTTTTTTTTTCAGATGAAGTTTCACTCTTGTTGCCCAGGCTGGAGTGCAATGGTGTGATCTCGGCTCACTGCAAACTCTGCCTCCCAGGTTCAAGCGATTCTCCTGCTTCAGCCTCTCAAGTAGGTGGGATTACAGGCATGCGCCACCATGACTGGCTAATTTTGTAGTTTTAGTAGAGATAGGGTTTCACCATGTTGGCAAGGCTGGTCTCAAACTCCTGACCTCAGGGGATCCACCTGCCTTGGCCTCCCACAGTGCTGGGATTACAGGCATGAGCCACTGTGCCCAGATTTACATTTCTGTTAGATCACTCTGGTACTAGCAGAATGGATTAAGGGGAAATCAACACTGGAGGCAATGAGACCAGTTAAGAGGCTACTGCAGTTGTCCAAGTGAGCAATGATTAGGGTGGTACTAGAAGGTAGGGAGAGGTAGGGATCTATAGGAGACACATTTAGGATATGAAATCAATTGCATTTGATAATTAATCAGAAGTGAGGTATTAAGAAGTATCTATTTAATTCCTATGCTTCCAACCCTTACAAGGGGCTGGATGATGCTGGTATTACCTGAGAGAGACAAAAGAAAGAGGACATTTGGAGGGAGAGTAATGGTGTAAGATGAAGCATCTATTTCATAAGTGAAGTTCAGGGCCTGCAGGATTGCAAGTTCCTTTGTCTACAAGAGAGAAGATTATGCAAAAGGAGATGCCTAAGGTGAGAAGACAAGTGATCAGGGATGGATTCTGTAGGAAAACCACTATTTAAGGGAAGAGTAGAAGTAGGGCACGTTGGGAAGACCCAATAGGAACTTCTCAGTTAGAGAAGGCCAAAAAGGGGTGGTGTCAAACATCGAAGGAGCAACAAGTGACACTGCCAAATGTAGCAGAGAGGACCTGAACACATGAGAACTAGAAAGCACCACTGTACTGTCAAAATACGGGCCACTGGTCAAATAGGGAGTGCTGAAAGCAGAAGAGAGATTGTAGATGTTTAAAAAGTAAATGGAAAGTGAGAGAGTGGAGACAGTGGATGTGGACACATTTTTCCAAAAGTGCAACTTACAAGAGCAATGTGTAAAGGGAGAAAGAATTAGGGCAGCAGGAGGAGAGTTGTTTTTGTTTTTAGGATAAGAAAGTCTTAAGCATGTTTATAGGATTAAGAGCTAAAGGGAGAAAGTCAAAACAGAAGAGATACAGGAGAGAAAGGAACAGTGGATTGGCAGGTAAGGGCAAGAGCACAGGCATGCCCTCATTACTACTGGAGGGAATGAGGATGACAGGGCATGGGGACAGAAGAAGAGACGGAGGTTGCTCATGCCTGGTGACTTCACTTTTCCTAGTGAAGTAGACAGATGGGAGATTTGCTAATAGGGCAGTGGTTAATTTTGGTAAAGGAGTCTTGAGAATGGTAAAAGTTTGAACAGGGAACAGGAATGGATACTTACCAGTGACTCTAAGACCTAGTTGAGGTTAAAGCCCTCATCTAACCTCATTTAACTTTTTCACCATAACCACTCTTTCTTAAGTTTTTTCTTTGGAGGAAGGAAAAAGAAGAATGTAAAGGAGAAAACTCAGAACTGACATCTTGACTCTATCTCTAGCTACAACTGTGACCTTTATGGCCCCACCCAGATATTTTACCCTCACTCCTTAACCAAAATTCCAGTGACTGCCTGGAATATCCGTGTGAATGCATCCCACAAGTGGATAAAAATGTCCTTTGATATATTCCTGATACTTAGAACCAGTGTAATGGAAAAGTGAGCTCTTTCCAAAAGGAATATTCACTTTTCATGAGAGAAATCTAAAAAAGAAATGCATGACGAGAAGTCAAAGTAATATGAAATGCTACAGTGGATTCTGAATTCTGCAATGCTGAGGTAAGAAGATTCCCCATGGGCTCAAAGTGGTTCAGCACAGGCTGGGCAAGGGCTGAAGGCCAGAGAGGTGATTGTAATTGTGCTGGAGCTTTCTGGGATCCTATATCTGTCCACAGATGATAGGTTTGCACGAATAGCAATTATTGCAAACAATGGCTGGGGAGATGGGTTAAATATGTTTCTGGTATAGTTACGCTAAATTGTAACTGTGAAAGGCTATATTCTCTGTGACTTTTTATATTCTCCAAACAAGAAAGAACAGAGAATGAGAGATATAAGGGTAATTTTCTATTGCAATTGTCTAAAGTAGAGAGCAGATTTATTGGGGCAAAGGGAAAGAAGCATCATTATTTAGGGTATTTGAAATCTTATTACATTTAGTCCTATGTAAATTTCCAGAACAAATGCATAATGATTGATGACTATTTGCTTCTCTGTCATCTATCATTTTTCTAACCTGGTAGAAATATAAGAAATTGACCTACCTCTTACCCCCAATTAACTAGAAAAATGAAGAGGCATCAATAAGAAATAATTGTTCAAAAGATAGATTGTACTTCAAGCGCTTAAACTATTTCTACAGGGAGATTTGCTCCTGTTGAGTGCCTGATACCAAAGATGCATTGCCCATCAAGGGCCTGGCTCCCTGACTCACCCAGTTTGAAGTTCCCCACTTACCGGCCGCATTGTGCTGGTGATACCAGATTAACTCGGGGACTGATTGAAAGACGTGTCTTTCAGTCACATACCACTGTCCTGAGTCATTCTTTTTTATCTGATAATGTTTTATGGCAGCCTCTGTACTTCTACAATCAAGAAAATGTGAATTACTAGAAGAGTGAAAGATCACTTTGGATCTAAGCCAACTCATTAAACAATAGAACTCCAGTTCTAAAACTCATCCTAGCAACACTACACTGAGAAGTGGATTGACTAAATTCAACAAGTGCCTCCCCATGCCAAGAAAATTCCTCAACTAAATTATTGGGGCCTTAGATTCAAACATAACTTCAGCCAAAGTTGTCTGAGTGACAAGACCAGTGTTCAAAAAAGTAGATCTCACAATGAATACATATAAGTACATACTGAATATCAAGTATTGGTTAAATGAATGAACACAAGCACTGTAAGCAATTGGAGATGTGAAACAAGAAGGGAGGAAAAACCAATGCCAGGTGCATTAGTTAGCAGGTTACTGCTATGGTTAATTGGGGCTCAATACTTGTAGGAACCTAGGAGATACTGGGGAGCACACTTCACAGTTGTCCCACTGAAGTGCAAAGAAGCTGAGATATTTATTCACCAACTCCCATTCTCTTTAATGTAGGGTTGCTCCTGGGATGTTACCTCTCAGGTACTTTCAGCCTAGCCGTAAGTCCCACAAGTTCCCACAGCCAGAGAACATCCTCAGGCAGACAGACACAGGAAGCTTTCTGAGTACAAGAGACCTTTCTGCAAGTGAATCCCAGAACAGATCAAGGGATATGAGGAAAGTGCCCAACAGTGTCTACTACAACTTTACTTGATGGTTGAGAAAAGGAAGACAGGAGAGGTTAAGAAATGTACCCAGTGTCACATAGAGCATGCTAGGGATATATCACAGACTGGCTGGTTTTTCTAACTTCCAGGCCAACAATTTTTTCCCTAAGCTAAGCTCTCACTAACATTCTCTATTTCATAGAGACTGTCCCAGGGATTATTTCTATAGTAACCAAAATCGCAAGTGCTTACCTTCTAGCTCCTATAAATACGGAAATTGTGTAGGATCCTAAATGTCTTGAATCTCTGACAATAAATGCACCTTCTTTAGACTGCAAAAAAAAAAATCATTTATTGAATAAGTCTATTCCTTCTTAGAAAGACAAACCTACAACTCAGGGATGAAAATCAAAGCTATATTAACCTACCATAAATAAGCGACCTACTATATTCTCAATATAAAGAATTAGATTGTCTTTACAAGTACACAAAATCTTATCTCCCTTATAGATTTAGAAGTCACACCTGTAAAATAAAATGTAATTGGGACATGCATTTATAATGTATTTTAGGATATTGTTACTGATTTTTCTAAGAAAAATTCTCTATTTGACAACCTTGTACCCTATTATTTATTTTTGTTATATTGATCAGGATAATAGATTAAAAATCACTGTAGAATAGGAAGAACACTGGGACAGACTGACCGGATTGTACTTTGCACTTTGGAAGAAGAGCAACAGGGTGGCAGGGAGGAACACAGCTGGGGCAGCAGGGAGTGGGGAAGGACACCAGAGTTCATGGGAAGGAGAGAGAAAGAACAGATTTGGGGGAGTCTGAAAAGAAAAGCAAAAGGAACCATATTAGTTGTAATAGGGGTATGGGAGAGATGAAAATAAATGGTAAAGGGGAGAACATGATCATAAACCTGAAGTTATATTATAAATTAGATTCCTATTAACACTTTTTGGGAGATGCCAATAAAGCTGTAAATTGCTTTCAAAGAATCTTGAATGTTGGATTGTTTTGATTCATTTGTTTGATATTGTAAAATGATTTAGCTTTACTGAGTATGCTTATGCTTATGAATAGGGAAAATACATCTCAGAATCTTGTCAAACCCATAGAAGCTTACACTTATAAAGTGCTGGTGTTATTTACTTTGTGCTTGAGAATTGCAGAACTCAAATAGCATGGTCTGACCCTCAAGGTAAATGTATTACATTAAGTAGAATCTTCTCCTTCTCATTCCAGATATTCACCAATTAAAACATTTTGACCAAGCCTTATTCCCTGGCCAAAATGTTTTAACCAAAGAATCTCTTGCAGCCATTCGAAATAATAAAATCTAGCTTTTACTATATTCCTATGGTGTACAAGGGTTCTGTTACATACCACAGAGGACACGATGTAAAAGACAAAGATGAAAAAGGAAAGTTGAATGTATTGTGTATATGTATATAATACACACAAACAAGTATATATAATATGTATATAAAGTTGCATATGTAGTGATTGCTTCATAGAAACAAAGTAGAAAGGGTACAAGCAAGATTTCCTGACTACAAAGGAATAAAACCAGAAATTAATAACAAACTCAAAAGTAAAAAAGCTCCTATCACCTGTAGATTTTTAAATTTTCTTCCTTCCTTTCCTTCTTTTCCTTCTCTCTTTCTCTCTTTCTTTCTTTCTTTCTTTTTGAGATGGAGTCTCACTTCATCACCCAGGTTAGAGTGCAATGGCATGATCTCGGCTCACTGCAACCTCCGCCTCCCAGGTTCAAGCCATTCTCCTCTTCTCCTGCCTCAGCCTCCCCAGTAGCTGGAATTACAGGCACATGCCACCACGCCCGGCTAATTTTTGTATTTTTAGTAGAGACGACGTTTCACCGTGTTGGCCAAGCTGGTCTCGAAATCCTGACCTCAAGTGATCCACCCGCCTCAGCCTCCCAAAATGCTGGGATTACAGGCGTGAGCCACCATGCCTGTGCTTTTAAATTCCTTTCACATAGCTCAAGGAAATTCAAATAAAAGTAAAAAATATCTAGAAAGTAATAAGGAAACATCACATATTAGAACCTCTGCTATGCAGTTCAAGCAGTACTCAGAAAAATAAATTTATAGTCTTATTACTTATATCAATAAACAATAGCAATAAAAATAAGCGTATTCAACTCAAGAAATTAGGATTAAAAACTATAAAATAAGCCCAAGTCAAGTAGAAGAAATAAATTAATAAAGACAAAATAGAAAATAATAAATTATTAAAGTAAGAATATAATATGACTAGTAAATTCAAAATCTGATTGCTTAGGAAAAAATAATAGACAAACTGCTAATTAACCTAATCACTAAATAATGGTGAAAACCCATCAAAAATAATAAGTCACAAGGAGAAAATTATCAAGAATCCAGTAAAAATTAAGGAATTTACTTGATTCTATACAATAAATTTGGAAACTCGAATGAAATGGATAATAAACTAGCAAGACATAAAATTTATCAAAATTGAATGCAGAAGAGTTAGGAATCTTTTTTATCTTTTTTTTTTTTTTTTTTTGAGACGGAGTCTGGCTCTGTCGCCCAGGCTGGAGTGCAGTGGCCGGATCTCAGCTCACTGCAAGCTCCACCTCCCGGGTTTACGCCATTCTCCTGCCTCAGCCTCCCGAGTAGCTGAGACTACAGGCGCCCGCCACCACGCCCAGGTAGTTTTTTGTATTTTTTAGTAGAGACGGGGTTTCACCGTGTTAGCCAGGATGGTCTCGATCTCCTGACCTCGTGATTCGCCCGTCTCGGCCTCCCAAAGTGCTGGGATTACAGGCTTGAGCCACCGCGCCCGGCCTAGGAATCTTAATGGACCTGTTGAGTAGAAAAATTGATAGGGTTTTTAAAAAGCTATCACTTTTTTTTTTTTTTTTTTTTTTTTGAGACAGAGTCTCACTCTGTCACCAGGCTGGAGTGCAGTGGCATATCTCGGCTCACTGCAACCTCTGCCTCCCCGGTTCAAGCGATTCTCTTGCCTCAGCCTCCAAAGTGCTGGGATTATAAGCGTGAGCCACTGAGCCCAACCAAAAGCTACCACATTTAAGCAGCACTATAGTCACACATTACAATGTACCGAACATTAAACAACAAAAAAAAAATGGTATAGAGATGAAACTATGCCAGAGCACATGACATGAAAAGAAGAAAAACTTTTCCGTTTGTATGTATAAAATGAGCTTAATATCAATAATCAACAGCACAGCCAGAACTGTGCACAAAAGAGAAAACTACTGACCAGTCTTATCAATGTAAAACTTCTAAATAAAATGTTAAGAAACAAATCCAGTGGCACAAAAGAATGATATACCATGACCAAGAAGAATTGCATGACGAGTGTAAGAATAATTCAATATTTGGGATTTTATTAATATAATTTATCATATTATTAGGTTTGTGCAAAAGTAATTGTGGTTTTTTTCCATTAAAAGTAACTAAAAGTAATGGCAAAAACCGCAGTTGCTTTTGAACCAACCTATACAGCAGACCTAAGGAGAAAAACCACATGAACATCCCTAGAGATGTTGAAGAGCCGTTTGACAAATTTCAACTTCTAGTATCAATTTTTAAAAATCCTCAATAAAATAGGAATGTGTGTGTACTTCCTTAACACAATAGCACTTAGTCTCAAATCCAGCCTTGTGCTATACGTGGAAATCATTCCAAATAAAATCTCAAAAAGGGCTGGGCGCAGTGGCTCATGCCTGTAATCCCAGCACTTTGGGAGACCGAGGCAGGCAGATCACTTGAGGCCAGGAGTTCAAGACCAGCCTGGCCAACACAGCAAAACCCCGCCTCTACTGAAAGTACAAAATGGTGCCACATGACCATAATCCCAGCTTCTTGGGTGACTGAGGCACGAGAATTGCTTGAACCCCGGAGGCAGAGGCTGCAGTGAGCCGAGATTGTGCCACTGCCTTCCAGTTTGGGCAACAGAGCAAGATGGTCAAAAAACAAACAAACAAAAAAAGAAAAATGGGAAAAAAGAAATAATGCCCACTACTATCATCACTGGCATTTCATACTGTTCTGGTGACACTAGTCAATTCAACTAAGTGAGAGGCAAACATTAAAAGTACTATATTAAAATTATAAAAGAGGAGTTGAAATCATCACTGTTGGCTGCTGATTGTATACTGAAAACCCAAGAGAATCAAGTGAAAACCTACTACATAAAACATGAGAATTTACCAAAATTATCAGTTACAAAATTAATTCACAGAAATAAAAAGCTTCATAAGTAAAAACAAGATATACTCATTTATGACACCAACACAAAAGATGAAATTCTTTAAGATAAACTTAAAAATAAATATACAAAAGTGGGATGAAGAAAACTCTAAAATGCTCCTGAAGAATACAAAAATGTTTACTTTTCTCTTTAGGTGTTTAATATACCTATGGTTATTTTTCCAAGAGGTATGAATCTAATTTTAATTTTTTTCTATATGAATATCAATATATGGCTTCTAGAACAAAAGGGTCCCCAAACCTCATTGATTTGTAATGCCTGAAAATTTTTTCCCAATTTAATCTGTACATTTAATGCAACCACAAGGTGATTCTGAAGTTTATATGGACAAAAATATATATTAATATATCCAGAATATTTCTGAAAAAGAATAATGAGGGAGGCTAGCCACACTAGAGACAGCCTCAGTACTTAAAACAGTGTAGTAGTCCTCTGTGAGGACTGATCAATAAAACCAAGTAGAAAGCCCAGATATAGTCCGAAATAGGGATTTTGTTTATGATGACAGTGGCATCTCAAATCAGTGCACAAAGGTGGATGTTTGGTAACCATCCAGAAGAAAATAAAGTCGGATCCATATCTTACTCCTTACATCAGGAAAAATTACAAATGGATCAAAGATACAAATGCATAAAATAAAACCACTAAAGCGATCAAGAAACATGAGAATATTTTTTAACAACCTGGGGATGGGAAAGGCAATACATATAAAATTCAAATACTCTTCAGGCCAAAAGACCATAAGACAATAGAAAAACTGCAGGAAATAACGCCACATGTCACAAAGGGCTAATTTCCTTAATATAGCTACATAGGTCCTACAAATTCTGAGAAAAACCTCAAAAACCCAATAGAAAACAATGCAAAGGATATGAACAAAGAGTTCACAGAAAAGGAAATACAGACATATAAAATTTAGCATATAAAAATGCTTAGCATTCCCAGAATATGAGAAATGCAAATTAAATCCACACTGAGATCAGGTGTCAGAGAGCAAAGATCCAGATGTTTTCTACAAAGTGCCGGCTGAAAAGGCTGTGGGAAAACAGACTCGCTGTTTTCTGGTAGACATATAAATTGATACAAATCCTACTGAGGACATTTCAATACCTGTTAAAATTAGAAATGTGTATTTCATTTGACCCAGAATTTGCACCTTTGAGGGTTTATCCTACAAACCCATATAAATGGAAAAAGATATGTGTATAGGTTATGGATGGTAGCATTGTTTCAACAGCAAAAGGATGTATACTATTTAATTTTCATACTGAAGAATTGGTTTTAAAAATTGTGATACACTCAAACTAAGGAATACTATGCAGGTATAAAATGAAGGAGGACACGTTTTGTGTACTGATGTGGAAAGATTCTAAATATATACCCTTATGTGAAAAAATAATATATATGTAAATGTATATAGTATGCTATCATTTGTGTAAAAGTAGCAACACAAGAAAATATATTTGAACTTCCTTGTGTATGTGTTAAATATCTTGGAAAGGACACAAAATAAACTAATAGTAGTTTTTCTGTGGGGAGGGAAATTGGTGGCTTGCAGACAAGATGGAAGAAAACTTTCCAAAATCTTTCGATTTTGAACCACGTGAACATACTGACTATTGAAATATGAAATAAATAAAAATTATAGGATATTGCCATGAATTGTTTGTGCAGTAAATTTGAAAATAAATTTAAAATAGGCAATTCTCTAGGTAAATATGTTATCAAACATTTCAAAAAGAAAAGGAAATTCAATCAGTAATCACGTATCTACCTGCTTTTAAAAACAGCATATCTGGACTATGTTACAGGACAGTTATAGTAGCTAACCAACCAATATAAACTATTCTCGAGATAGGAAAGACAGCCAAAGCCCCACTCCTTAACTCATTTTATGATGTTAATGTAACCTTTATACTAAAATCAAAGAGAACAGAAAATTATAAGCCAGGCTCCCTTTTGAACATAACAGGATAAATGCTGAATAGAATATAAGGAAACCCAAACCAGAATATGTATTTTAAATGCCTTGTGACAAGTAGGAGGGCCAGATGTATTTTTAAAATAAAAATTAGAAGACCGGATGTAGTGGCTCACGCCTGTAATCCCAGCACTTTGGGAGGCCGAGGCGGGAGGATCATGAGGTCAAGAGATGAAGACCATCCTGGTTAACACAGTGAAACCCCGTCTGTATAAATATACAAAAAATTAGCCAGGCGTGGTGGTGGGGGCCTGCGGTCCCAGCTACTCGGGAGGCTGAGGCGGGAGAATGGCGTGAACCCGGGAGGCGGAGCTTGCAGTGAGCCGAGATCGCGCCACTGCACTCCAGCCTGGGCAACGAGTGAGACTCCCTCTCAAAAATAAATAAATAAATAAATAAATAAATAAATAAATAAATAAATAAATTAGAAAATACATAAATTAGAAAAACATTTTTGAGATAGAAAAAAATATGTATACTTTAAATATCCCATGCTTTATACACACATACACACTCATTTCTGAGAAAGACCCAGATGTGGAAAGCAAATCCTTAATACATTTAAAAGAGGATAGAAATCCATTAATTACTTCAAGAGGAAGAAAAGTTTCTTATACTAAGAAGAAAAGAAGCATAGATAATAAAGGAAAATTTGAGAAATGTGACCACATTAACCTTTTTAAATTCTATGCAAGAAAACAGCATAAAGTTTTCCTAAAAGCCAGAAACCAGAAGAATATATTTACAACAAATAGCTGACAAAAAAGATTGGTATTCAAAATATTATTTATTTATTTATTTATTTTTTATTTTTTATTTTTATTTTTTTTTTGAGATGGAGTCTCACTCTGTCACCCAGGCTGGAGTGCAGTGGCGTGATCTTGGCTCACTGCAATCTCCACCTCCCAGGTTCAAGCGATTCTCCTGCCTCAGCCTTCTGAGTAGCTGGGATTAGAGGTGCCCACCACCATGCCTGGCTAATTTTTGTATTTTCAGTAGAAATGGGGTTTCGGCATGTTGGCCAGGCTGGTCTCGAACTCCTGACCTCAAATGATCCACCTGCCGTGGCCTCCTAAAGTGCTGGGATTACAGGCTTTAGCCATCGCCCCCGGCTGTATTTTTTAAATATAGACGTACAAGTTCAAAAGGCAAGCACTATAGAAAAGTGGACAAAAAATGTTGACAGGCATGTCACAGAAGAGTAAGCTCAACTGGCCTACAGACACTTCAAAAGTAACTCAATTGCACTGGTAATCAAGAAAATGAAAAGGTATACAATTTTTCACCCAATGAATTGAAAAAAAACTGTGAAACTACTTGCCACCTGCTGGCAAGAATGTTGGGAACCAGTTTATCTCATTCACCACAAAAGCATAAATTAGTATAACCATTTTGAATCATGTTTTGAAAATATCTAATAATGTTAAATCTGCACATACCCTGTGACCACATAATTCCATCTCGCCCTGTGTACAAAATGACATTTATAAGAAAATTCATTGCAGCACTGTTTGTAACAGTAACAAATCAAAAACATTTTGAATGTTTATCCACATTGAATACAATTTTATATAGTCATATCATGAAATACGCTAATATACAGCTAAAGGAATGTATTTGACCTATAGTATACATACCCATATCGATAAACTTTGAAAACATAATGTTTAACTAAAAAATCCACATACATATGATCTCCTTTCTATCAAATGGTAGAATACATAAAATAACATTATAGGTTGTTTATGTGTATGCATATATGACCAAAATTTAAACACATGGAGAAAACAGGAACATACCCTTCTACTGTGATTGCCTCTAAGGAATGAGAGAGGACCAAGAAGATGAAGGGGGTGGGCTTCAACTGTATCTGTAATGTTTTATTTATTTTTAAAATGTCATGGCCAAATTTTAATATTTGCCATGTCTGGGTTGTGGGCCTGTGCGTATAATTCCCTATTCAAGTCTCTGAAAAGAGATGAGACCCTTGCCTTGTCTGGCTTCTTTTCAGATGCAGAAGCTCTTATACTGAATCTCCACAGCCCAGTGATTTGGGCCATATTACCTGTGACCAGTGTGCTAACTGCAGACCTCCTCTGGGACTTTCCTTCTCTCATTCTGCCCACTTGTCATAACATTTTATTTCTCCATGTTGGACCTATTAATGTCATCTTACAAAAGGCCATTTGCTGTGACCATACCAAGAAGATAGCACATTTTCTGCCACACTCAGTTTCCTCCAAGCAAGCAAGGCCTGTCCAACCTCCATCCGTGGTCACCTGAGATGGGCCTGTGTCCCTCATTCTCTGCCTATAGCCCCTGCTATGAAGTGGGTCTTCATTGTACCCTGAGCCATTACTGGCATTGAGTTTTGAGTTACAGAACTGATTCTTTCTCATTCGCACTTCTAGATTTCCTCAATATCCAACAGCAGAGCAAAATGACACACATACTCTTACCTAGTTTCTAGTTTTGATTCTACTTTTACCCACAGTTAACGTTTACTGACAGTTGGAAATTTAAACTATAGGTAGCTTTGTTTTGGTTTGACCTAAATGAGTAGTTTTGATATGAGTTTGATATTTTGGCTATTCTACTCTTTCCTTTGTTTCCAAAGAACAAAGACACTGCAGCAGCAGGTATTTTTCTTTGTTTGTGTTTTTAATGAGTCTAACCTAAGTTCCTGAGGATCAAGTTTATACTTTACTGCCTTTGATGCAAAGGTTATAATGAGCAACTCAAATACAGGACTCCAGACTGGGCGTGGTGGTTCACACCTGTAATCTCAGCACTTTGGGAGGCCAAGCCAGGCTGATCATTTGAGCTCAGTAGTTCAAGACCAGTTGGGCAGCATGGCAAAACCCTATCTCTATAAAAAATACAAAGAAACTAGCCAGGCATGGTGGCACGCCTGTAGTTCCAGCTACTCGGAAGACTGAGGTGGGAGGACAGCTTGAAGCCCAGGAGGTCAAGACTTCAGTCAGCTGTTACTGAGCCACTACACCTCAACCTGGGTGACACAGTGAGACCATGTCTCAAAATAAATAAATAAATAAATAAATAAATAAATAAATAAAATATATATATGTGTGTGTGTGTGTGTGTGTGTGTGTGTGTGTATAGAGAGAGAGAGAGAGAGAGAGAGAGAGAGAGAGAGAGAGAGACTCCATTGGCTTGGCAGAATGCACCTTGGAGTGAGTGCAGTAGTCTCCATATGTTAGAGCTGAAATCCTTTCAGGAGAAACATATTTCTGAAATTATAATGAAAGTTGTTGGAAAATATGATCTAATACAAATACATCTGATTTACAGCTTCACATAAAATATATAGTTGGGATATAATGATATTTTAGAACTAGAAAAGACAAGAAATAATATACTTTTTTAGTTGGTTAAAGTCTTTATAAGTACTTCTCAGAAATATTGAAAATGTCCACAAATATATTGAATTACCTCTTGTCTCAACAGACGTTCTGCCTGATTTCTGGTAATGTTTCTATGGTACCACCTGTAAAAGCAATAAAAATGATTTTTAAATTTTATATTCACTTTTTTTAAGAAAAAAACAGGGCTCCATTTCCTTCATTTTTAAGAACTTACTTCAGATCTGATCTTAGAAAGTTGAGTGTTTTTTTTTTAATTCAGATAAACAATAATATATCATTATGGGTTAATTAAGTTTAATATAATTTTATTTTCAAGCCAATATCTAGTTTATTCTATCATATGTCAATTCAACTTCTAATATATACTTAGTATACATTATGAATGATTTAACTTCTTATAGATTTCCATGAAAGGTATGTGGTAAAGACCTCATCATCTTGAACAAACACAGAGTTTTGGCAAACTAAAAAAATACTCATGTCTGTCTTTCCTCTCAGAAACTTCCTACTTACATGTTTTTATAGGTGCTTTGTTACACCTTCCAAAAATTAAAGCCCATTCTTACTTTTCTGACACTCCTAAGTGCATTACATTATATATAGTCAGTAGTGAGTAGATGTTCTCACTTTTAAGTGGGAGATAACAGGGGGAACACATAGCCATAGAGATGGAAATAATGGACACTGGGGACTCCCAAAGCAGGGAAGATCGAAGCGGGATGAGTTGAAAAATGACTTATTGTATAAAATGTTCACTATTTGGGTGATGAGTACACCAGAAACCCAATACCCACCATTACAAAATACACTGTTGTTAGAAAAAAAAAAAAGAAAAAAACTTGCATGTGTACCCCCCTAGATCTAAAATAAAATTTTTAAAAAATCAAAAAACAGAATACATGTAACAACCAATACATGAACTTGCCTCTGACACCCTCTCCCGCCCCATCTCTCTCCTGAGGCTCCTGTCACTCACTGAGCTTCAGTCTCATTGGAATTCTTTCCTTCCCCAGATTCACCAACCCCTTTTCTGCCCTCAATCATGCTGTTTTCTCTGCATGAAACATGTCATTAAATGACTTTAGAATATCAGAAGTACACACAGTAAACATAATTAACTAATATTGTAAGCTAAAGATACAGTTTGATATAATACCTAGTCAATAAGCAAATGTTGTACAGGAAGGAGAAAGAAAAAACGGTAGAACAAAAGAGAGAGAAAGGAAAACTGAAAGGCTTTCATTTCAAAACGAGACTTTAAAAAAAATTTAATGCTTCACAAATTTGCATGTCATCCTTGCACAGGGAACATGCTAATCTTCTCTGTATTGTTCCCATTTTTAGTATATGTGCTGCCGAAGCAAGCACTCAAAAATAAGATTTTTAAGAAGATTTTAAACTTAATCTAATATTGCCAGATAGAAGTATGTGACAAATTCAAGATCCTTTAAAATAATTCCGAATTCTATCAGGCAGGAAAGAGACTGAATGAATGGAACTTAGAGGATGCAAGAGCACAGTATTTCAGAATTTCATCTATTTAAATCAGATTATAAAAGTTAGAAGGGGTTTTTAAAACAAAAAAAATATATATAAGTAAAACTGTAACTCTTATACCTAGACAACACTGATTACAAGTAAGACCAAATGATGTGCATGAAGGAGTTAGGGACAGGAATCCTATTTACATTTTGTTTTAATCCGGCACGTCCAGCTACGGGTGAGTAGAAACATTCTGTATGTTATGTGAATACCTCTGGTACCATGTCCCAATCTTAGATTTCTGATCAATAAGTAAACAGTATTGTGTTCTTGAATTTTTGATCTAGAAGCCCCATTAGATCTGAGAAGGTGAATCTGCTTCCCTTAGTAAGTGACTTTCTGTGAGAAGATTAAGGATTCCGTGTAGAGATAATGAGATAAATGAAACTCATACTTCTGTAAAGTTCAGGAATAATCAACATGTTTGGTATTTAAAATATCTATTATTTTAAGAGAACCTGGTGTATTAGATTTTTGCCTCTGATTTAAAGGGCATAATTAATTTTAAACTGGTTATTTGAAGTTGAAGATAATTTGACTCGTTTTTAAAACGATATTTATACAGTTAAAGGAACTTGATTTCCCACATTTGTAAGTTTAGTTTATTAGATTTCCAGGATCATTTAAAGACTTGCATAGGGCTTTTTACAATTGTAAATTTGCCCTGTCAGGCATGTGAAGTACTTTGAAAGAAAACTGAATTTATTCAGTTTATTAATGCAAATTAAAAGTTTCCAAAAATTTAATTAACTGAGCTTATAAATCGGACTGATTGTTTAAGGATATCTAGTATGTTGAGTCTGAATTAAGCTGATTGTTCTTACTTTTTTAGATTTATATATAGTATACCAAATTTTATAAGTCAAATTTGAGGACTTTCTGAAAACTAGGTCTTTATGTTGTAATGTTGAAAATTCGGATATTTCATTTAAAGCCAAAGTAGCCATAAATCTTTCTATGCACAAAGGTTCCCCTGAAATATCAGAACTCCACATTGACGCAGCATTCCTTCCACTATACCCACCCTCCCTCAACACACACTACCTGCTACCACCTTTAGACCTCAAGTCACTTCCTCAGACACAACCCAACATCCTCCATCTAAATTACATCCCCTGCCGTGTTTTCTTCCACAGTGCCCAATACTGTTCCTTCAAAACACTACAGTTTTTTTTTCTCAACTTTTATTTTAAGTTCCGGGGTACATGTGCAGGATATTCAGTTTTGTTACATAGGTAAATGAGTGCCATAGTGGTTTGCTGCACAGATCAACTCATCACCTAGGTATTAAGCCCAGCATCCATTACCTATCCTTCCTGATGTTCTCCCTCCCCTTGCCGCCCTCACCCCACCCCCAGCCCCAGGCTCCAGTGTGTCATAACACTACGATTTAAAATTGTATGTTTATGGGCCGGGCACGGTGGCTCACGCCTGTAATCCCAGCACTCTGGGAGGTCGAGGTGGGCGAATCACGAGGTTAGGAGATTGAGACCATCCTGGCTAACACGGTGAAACTCCGTCTCTACTAAAAAAAAAAAAAAAAAAAAAAAAAAAATTAGCCAGGTGTGGTGGCAGGCGCCTATAGTCCCAGCTACTTAGGAGGCTGAGGCAGGAGAATGGCATGAACCCAGGAGGCGAGCTTGAGTGAGCCAAGATCACACCACTGCACTCCAGCCTGGGTGACAGAGCGAGACTCTGTCTCAAAAATAAATAAATAAATAAAATTGTACATTTATTTGTGGACTTAGGGTTGTTTAATGTCTATTTTTTTCCCAAGAAACTGTAAGTTCCATAACTCTGCATATTTCATGTTGTTATATCTGGTACATCATAAGTATACAATAAATACAGATGGAACAAATAAGGTTTTGAGGACTGAAGTAACAAAGGAGTGTTGAATGCCTGTAAATAATAGGCCAGGTGGACCAAACTGTAAATGTTTTTCCTATTAGTTTCATAGTTCATGAAATAATAATAATCACTAGAATGTATTGAATATTTATTATGTAATAGATAGAATAGGTATTATTGTCTCTGCTTTTCAGATCATTCAGAGGTTTAGAGACATTAGGTAACTCTGCCCTGAACCAAAGCACTAGTCAATGCCGATGCCAGGATTTGGACCCAGGTTGCTCCCATTTATATACACATGCTCTAGTACTTAAACCTAGGGCAGTAACTTTTGTACAGTCATTAGAACAGTGCTTGGGACATAGTAAGTGATCAATAAATTTCAGCGATCAATAATGATAACGACTTTATCTGCATCTTAATAAAGCTGTTTTTAAAAATGGCAATAAAATGAAAAATTAGTTTTCTCATAATTGGAGTCGTTTTAAAAAGGATGATTTTTTTAAAAAAAACTCATATATAAATCAAGGCCCAAGGAAATGAGGTAGCAGTTGTAACCCCAGAGTAGTATAATTCAGATGCTCCAACATCCACAGTATGAACAGGTTGTTATAGCCAGAGTCTAGGCCTTGTCTAAACAGGGTAATCAATGAGCAAATGAATGAATAACAAAAGGGTGGAAAGTAACATTCCTAGGTAGTGAGTATCCATTCACTAACTACCAGGCACTGTGTTAGCTACCTTCACAAATGTCTCCTTTAATCGCCTGTAAAATCCAAATTATATGAAAAAAGTCTCATTTTTCTAATTTTTCTGAGCAAGAGATTTTCATATATCTGTAAATACACACAAAATCTCCTCTGACCCGGCCTTGCAAGAGGCCTGTTTTTGTTGGTCAGCTTAAGCTCGGGATAGCAGTGAGAACTCATGAGGACACGCTCTTGAGTAGATAGCTGTGGAACTGTTTTTTTCTTTTCTTTTCTTTTCTCTTCTTCTTCTTTTTTTTTTTTTTTTTTTTTAACAGAGATAGGGTCTCACTATGTTGCCCAGGACAGTCTTGAACTCCTGAGCTCCAGCAATTCTCCCACCTCAGTCTCCCAAAGTGCTAGGGTTACAGGTGTGAGCCACCATGCCTGGCCTCTTTGTTTTTTTTCCAATTTTTAAAAATTGCCATGCTAATCTCCTCTGTATCATTCCAATGTTAGTATATGTTCTGCTGAAGTGAGCACTTTGGAACTCTTTTCTAAGGAAGGTGGGTTCAGTCACCTGAGGACTTTGATTTACTGGAGATTAGAATCTCGGGAAGGGCTAAATGGCTCCAATGGAGCCATGAGGCCCAGTGAAGGTGGGAAAAGAGAGAAGAGACCCTGTGATGAAGCTGAGGAGAGTGACTGGAGAGAGAACAGAAATAGCTACTGGAGAAATCTCATAGAGTAATGTAGATGAGTCATCTGTCCTGAAGTCATCTCCTTTTCTCCTCCAATAAAGTCTACATTATTCACCAAAGCTTTCGAATTCAAATTTGTTTTAGGAGAGATGTACTGAGTTAGGCCTCTAGGTGGGCTTTATTAGTAGCAAGACCAACCAAGAAGTTTCTCTCATTCAATTGTATTTGCTGCCTGGTTCTCAGAGAAGCACTTGTCTTAATGCCTCAATGCATATATTACCTACTGCCACCTGGTGGAAGCATATGCTAATTTTAAGATAAGTGCCCAAACCAGATGGAGGTGGGGGAGATGCTCAAACTGAAAATCTAAATTTATAAAAAACATATGACTAGTCTCAGTTCTACCGCTCTCTACCTGTAATCTATCAATCTTCTCATCTGCAAAATGAGGGGCTAAAAAAGTGATTGCTAAGATTTCCTCCATCTTCCAAATCTGTAATTGTAACAAAAATAGATTTCAGGCAGAACTCTAGTGAACATGCCAAATGGTTCTTCCAAACTACAGCATTAGCCTAGTTCTTATCTTCAGCTATTTCTAAAACACATAAAAACATGAGCCAAAATATAGTCATTTATCTATATGGTTAAGTCCAATTTACCACTCATTGAAAATTTAATGTCATTTTTTAAAGTAAATTTTCCAGTTAAAATATACAGTAAAACAGGTACCAGATGAATGTTTGGTTTCAGACTGTCACTGTTAAAACAGAAAAAGTGGCTATACAAAACAGAACAAAAATAAGTTTAAGAAAAAGAAGTTTCTGAATCAACCATGATAAGGATCAAACGTCTCTTTATTATTAATGCTGTCAAATGTGTTACTTTCTTTTCCTTTTACAGACCCAAAACAGTATCTATACTTACAAGCTGCCAAAATGTCCCTGATGTTCATAGGTTAATCATAGGTTATATTTTGGAGAAGACTTACTCATATATTTCTAAATTAGTTATTTTGTTTTCAGTCACATAGTTGCTTGGGATTAAGCCTTCATTCCTACAACAAAAGAAAAAGCAAAAGTCAAAATGCTTGGCATGTTTGTGGCATTATCATGGCAATAATCCTTTAAAAACCTCAAGGATGTAGGGGGAAATCAAATTCATTTTACTGATTAAATTGTTAAAAGGAGAAAAAAAAGTTTTTTAAATTTCAAACTCAACAAAAATCTCTGTACAAGAAGTATATTACGATCCCGACTTGTAACGTGAGTAGTTTAAGAGGTTTTATGACCCCACAATCTTTTCAGAGAGAAAAGGGGGCATTTAAATGATCATCTGATATCATAGTGACTGTGTTAAAAACACAGCGATTACAAAGACATTGGCTTCATTCTTTTCAATTGCTGAGGAGTATTCCATAGTATAGGTATTCTAGTTTAGCCATTTCCCTGGTAGAAGCAATGCTGTAAAGAAATCCTTGAACATGCCTTCTTGTACAGAAGTAAGAATATTTCTCAAAGATAGATAGCAAGGAGGGGAATCGCTAAGTCACGGGATATGTGCATCTTTCAGGATATGCAACAAATTGTCCTCAAAGGAGGATATACCAATTAACACACCTATCAGCATGGTAGAGGCTTCACTTTTCCTATACCTTAACCAACATTTGAAATTACAAAAAGAGGGCGGAGCAAGATGGCCGAATAGGAACAGCTCCAGTCTCCAACTCCCAGCGCGAGCGACACAGAAGACCGGCGATTTCTGCATTTTCAACTGAGGTACTGGGTTCATCTCACTGGGGAGTGCCGGACGATCGGTGTTGGTCAGCTGCTGCAGCCCGACCAGCGAGAGCTGAAGCAGGGCGAGGCATTGCCTCACCTGGGAAGAGCAAGGGGGAAGGGAATCCCTTTTCCTAGCCAGGGGAACTGAGACACACAACACCTGGAAAATCGGGTAACTCCCACCCCAATACAGCGCTTTAAGCAAACAGGCACACCAGGAGATCATATCCCACACCTGGCCGGGAGGGTCCCACACCCACGGAGCCTCCCTCATTGCTAGCACAGCAGTCTGTGATCTACCGGCAAGGCAGCAGCGAGGCTGGGGGAGGGGCGCCCGCCATTGCTGAGGCTTAAGTAGGTAAACAAAGCTGCTGGGAAGCTCGAACTGGGTGGAGCTCACAGCAGCTCAAGGAAACCTGCCTGTCTCTGTAGACTCCACCTCTGGGGACAGGGCAATAACAAACACAGCCGAAACCTCTGCAGACGCAAACGACTCTGTCTGACAGCTTTGAAGAGAGCAGTGGATCTCCCAACACGGAGGTTGAGATCTGAGAAGGGACAGACTCCCTGCTCAAGTGGGTCCCTGACCCCTGAGTAGCCTAACTGGGAGACATCCCCCACTAGGGGCAGTCTGACACCCCACACCTCACAGGGTGGAGTACACCCCTGAGAGGAAGCTTCCAAAGCAAGAATCAGACAGGTACACTCGCTGTTCAGAAATATTCTATCTTCTGCAGCCTCTGCTGCTGATACCCAGGCAAACAGGGTCAGGAGTGGACCTCAAGCAATCTCCAACACACCTACAGCTGAGGGTCCTGACTGTTAGAAGGAAAACTATCAAACAGGAAGGACACCTACACCAAAACCCCATCAGTACATCACCATCATCAAAGACCAGAGGCAGATAAAACCACAAAGATGGGGAAAAAGCAGGGCAGAAAAGCTGGAAATTCAAAAAATGAGAGCGCATCTCCCCCGGCAAAGGAGCGCAGCTCATCGCCAGCAACGGATCAAAGCTGGACGGAGAATGACTTTGATGAGATGAGAGAAGAAGGCTTCAGTCCATCAAATTTCTCAGAGCTAAAGGAGGAATTACGTACCCAGCGCAAAGAAACTAAAAATCTTGAAAAAAAAGTGGAAGAATTGATGGCTAGAGTAATTAATGCAGAGAAGGTCATAAACGAAATGAAAGAGATGAAAACCATGACACGAGAAATACATGACAAATGCACAAGCTTCAGTAACCAACTCGATCAACTGGAAGAAAGAGTATCTGCAATTGAGGATCAAATGAATGAAATGAAGCGAGAAGAGAAACCAAAAGAAAAAAGAAGAAAAAGAAATGAACAAAGCCTGCAAGAAGTATGGGATTATGTAAAAAGACCAAATCTACGTCTGATTGGGGTGCCTGAAAGTGAGGGGGAAAATGGAACCAAGTTGGAAAACACTCTTCAGGATATCATCCAGGAGAACTTCCCCAACCTAGTAGGGCAGGCCAACATTCAAATCCAGGAAATACAGAGAATGCCACAAAGATACTCCTCGAGAAGAGCAACTCCAAGACACATAATTGCCAGATTCACCAAAGTTGAAATGAAGGAAAAATCTTAAGGGCAGCCAGAGAGAAAGGTCGGGTTACCCACAAAGGGAAGCCCAACAGACTAACAGCAGATCTCTCGGCAGAAACTCTCCAAGCCAGAAGAGAGTGGGGGCCAATATTCAACATTCTTAAATAAAAGAATTTTAAACCCAGAATTTCATATCCAGCCAAACTAAGTTTCATAAGTGAAGGAGAAATAAAATCCTTTACAGATAAGCAAATGCTTAGAGATTTTGTCACCACCAGGCCTGCCTTACAAGAGACCCTGAAGGAAGCACTAAACATGGAAAGGAACAACAGGTACCAGCCATTGCAAAAACATGCCAAAATGTAAAGACCATCGAGGCTAGGAAGAAACTGCATCAACTAACGAGCAAAATAACCAGTTAATATCATAATGGCAGGATCAAGTTCACACATAACAATCTTAACCTTAAATGTAAATGGACTAAATGCTCCAATTAAAAGACACAGACTGGCAAACTGAATAAAGAGTCAAGACCCATCAGTCTGCTGTATTCAGGAGACCCATCTCACACGCAGAGACATACATAGGCTCAAAATAAAGGGATAGAGGAAGATTTACCAAGCAAATGGAGAACAAAAAAAGCGGGGGTTGCAATACTAGTCTCTGATAAAACAGACTTTAAACCATCAAAGATCAAAAGAGACAAAGAAGGCCATTACATAATGGTAAAGGGATCAATTCAACAGGAAGAGCTAACTATCCTAAATATATATGCACCCAATACAGGAGCACCCAGATACATAAAGCAAGTCCTTAGAGACTTACAAAGAGACTTAGACTCCCATACAATAATAATGGGAGACTTCAACACTCCACTGTCAACATTAGACAGATCAACGAGACAGAAAGTTAACAAGGATATCCAGGAATTGAACTCATCTCTGCAGCAAGCAGACCTAATAGACATCTATAGAACTCTCCACCCCAAATCAACAGAATATACATTCTTCTCAGCACCACATCGTACTTACTCCAAAATCGACCACGTAATTGGAAGTAAAGCACTCCTCAGCAAATGTACAAGAACAGAAATTATAACAAACTGTCTCTCAGACCACAGTGCAATCAAACTAGAACTCAGGACTAAGAAACTCAATAAAAACCGCTCAACTACATGGAAACTGAACAACCTGCTCCTGAATGACTACTGGGTACATAACGAAATGAAGGCAGAAATAAAGATGTTCTTTGAAACCAATGAGAACAAAGATACAACATACCAGAATCTCTGGGACACATTTAAAGCAGTGTGTAGAGGGAAATTTATAGCACTAAATGCCCACAAGAGAAAGCTGGAAAGATCTAAAATTGACACTCTAACATCACAATTAAAAGAACTAGAGAAGCAAGAGCAAACACATTCGAAAGCTAGCAGAAGGCAAGAAATAACTAAGATCAGAGCAGAACTGAAGGAGATAGAGACACAAAAAACTCTCCAAAAAATCAATGAATCCAGGAGTTGGTTTTTTGAAAAGATCAACAAAATTGACAGACCACTAGCAAGACTAATAAAGAAGAAAAGAGAGAAGAATCAAATCGACGCAATTAAAAAATGATAAAGGGGATATCACCACCGACCCTACAGAAATACAAAGTACCATCAGAGAATACTATAAACACCTCTATGCAAATAAACTGGAAAATCTAGAAGAAATGGATAATTTCCTGGACGCTTACACTCTTCCAAGACTAAACCAGGAAGAAGTTGAATCCCTGAATAGACCAATAGCAGGCTCTGAAATTGAGGCAATAATTAATAGCCTACCAACCAAAAAAAGTCCAGGACCAGATGAATTCAGAGCTGAATTCTACCAGAGGTATAAGGAGGAGTTGGTACCATTCCTTCTGAAACTATTCCAATCAATAGAAAAAGAGGGAATCCTCCCTAACTCATTTTATGAGGCCAAAATCATCCTGATACCAAAGCCTGGCAGAGACACAACAAAAAAAGAGAATTTTAGACCAATATCCCTGATGAACATCGATGCAAAAATCCTCAATAAAATACTGGCAAACCGGATTCAGCAACACATCAAAAAGCTTATCCACCATGATCAAGTGGGTTTCATCCCTGGGATGCAAGGCTGGTTCAACATTCGCAAATCAATAAACATAATCCAGCATATAAACAGAACCAAAGACAAAAAACACATGATTATCTCAATTGATGCAGAAAAGGCTTTTGACAAAATTCAACAGCCCTTCATGCTAAAAACGCTCAATAAATTCGGTATTGATGGAACGTACCTCAAAATAATAAGAGCTATTTATGACAAACCCACAGCCAATATCATACTGAATGGGCAAAAACTGGAAAAATTCCCTTTGAAAACTGGCACAAGACAGGGATGCCCTCTCTCACCACTCCTATTCAACATAGTGTTGGAAGTTCTGGCTAGGGCAATTAGGCAAGAGAAAGAAATCAAGGGTATTCAGTTAGGAAAAGAAGAAGTCAAATTGTCCCTGTTTGCAGATGAAATGATTGTATATTAGAAAACCCCATTGTCTCAGCCCCAAATCTCCTTAAGCTGATAAGCAACTTCAGCAAAGTCTCAGGATACAAAATTAATGTGCAAAAATCACAAGCATTCTTATACACCAGTAACAGACAAACAGAGAGCCAAATCATGAATGAACTTCCATTCACAATTGCTTCAAAGAGAATAAAATACCTAGGAATCCAACTTACAAGGGATGTAAAGGACCTCTTCAAGGAGAACTACAAACCACTGCTCAGTGAAATAAAAGAGGACACAAACAAATGGAAGAAACATACCATGCTCATGGATAGGAAGAATCAATATCGTGAAAATGCCATACTGCCCAAGGTAATTTATAGATTCAATGCCATCCCCATCAAGCTACCAATGAGTTTCTTCACAGAATTGGAAAAAACTGCTTTAAAGTTCATATGGAACCAAAAAAGAGCCCGCATCTCCAAGACAATCCTAAGTCAAAGGACAAAGCTGGAGGCATCACGCTACCTGACTTCAAACTATACTACAAGGCTACAGTAACCAAAACAGCATGTACTGGTACCAAAACAGAGATATAGACCAATGGAACAGAACAGAGTCCTCAGAAATAATACCACACATCTACAGCCATCTGATCTTTGACAACCTGAGAGGAACAAGAAATGGGGAAAGGATTCCCTATTTAATAAATGGTGCTGGAAATTGGGTAGCCATAAGTAGAAAGCTGAAACTGGATCCTTTCCTTACTCCTTATACGGAAAATTAATTCAAGATGGATTAGAGACTTAAATGTTAGACCCTAATACCATAAAAATCCTAGAGGAAAACCTAGGTAGTACCATCAGGACATAGGCATGGGCAAAGACTTCATGTCTAAAACACCCAAAAGCAACGGCCAACAAAACCAAAATTGACAAATGGGATCTCATTAAACTAAAGAGCTCTGCACAGCAAAAGAAACTGCCATCAGAGTGAACAGGCAACCTACAGAATGGGAGAAAAATTTTGCAATCTACTCATCTGACAAAGGCTAATATCCAGAACCTACAAAGAACTCAAACAAATTTACAAGAAAAAAGCAAACAAACCCCATCAAAAAGTGGGCAAAGGATAAGAAACGACATTTCTCAAAAGAAGACATTCATACAGCCAACAGACACAGGAAAAAATGCTCATCATCCACTGGCCATCAAGAGAAATGCAAATCAAAACCCACAATGAATACCGTCTCACACCAGTTAGAATGGCGAATCATTAAAAAGTCAGGAAACAACAGTGCTGGAGAGTATGTGGAGAAATAGGGAACACTTTTACACTGGGTGGATTGTAAACTAGTTCAACCATTATTGAAACAGTTATGCGATTCTCAAGGATCTAGAACTAATGTACCATATACCCAGCCATCCCATTACTGGGTATATACCCAAAGGATTATAAATCATGCTGCTACAAAGACACATGCACACGTATGTTTATTGCAGCACTATTCACAATAGCAAAGACTTGGAATCAACCCAAATGTCCATCAGTGACAGATTGGATTAAGAAAATGTGGCACATATACACCATGGAATACTATGCAGCCATCAAAAAGGATGAGTTTGTGTCCTTTGTAGGAACATGGATGCAGCTGGAAACCATCATTCTTAGCAAACTATCACAAGAACAGAAAACCAAACACTGCATGTTCTCACTCATAGGTGGGAACTGAACAATGAGATCACTTGGACTCAGGAAGGGGAACATCACACACCGGGGCCTATCATGGGGAGGGGGGCGGGGGTAGGGATTGCATTGGGAGTTATACCTGATGTAAATGACGAGTTGAATGGTGCAGCACACCAACATGGCACAAGTATACATATGTAACAAACCTGCACGTTATGCACATGTACCCTACAACTTAAAGTATAATTAAAAAAAAAAAAAAGGGGAAAAAAAAAAAAAAGAAATTACAAAAAGATCTCCAAGACATATTATTGAGAAATAAGAGTAAGCTGCAGAATCATGCATAAAGTATGATAAGATTTAGGTAATGAATTCTACAAACAATACCATATATTTTGATACGTGTATGTAAGTGCATTGAAAATAATCTGAAAATGGATAACGGTATTTACTTTTGGGGAGACACTTGGGTTTGCAGGTAGTGGCAAAGTACAATTTTGATATTAATATTTGCATATTATATTTTTTAAAAACTCTATTCACTTACTGTGAAATAAAAAATTCAATTTTTAAGTCTGAGGCATGCCAATAGCATACCCGCAGATGTGGCTAATTACACAGTCCTGAACCTACTAATGCCTCTTTTTCCACTGAAAAGTCTCCATCACATGTTGAGAACTGTTAAGAGAGCCACATCACTGAGAAAATGTAGTTGGAGAGGTATGTAATTTACATGCTTATAATACTTGGATACTTAGAATATCCAAATCTTGACAAATATCAGAAATCAATGCCAGCCTTCTCTCTCAGGAAGTCCAGATATTCCTCAGAATTCTTCTCAATCAGGACTCCAGTCAGGCATTAACCATCTGTTGCAACTGACACAATGAAACCTATCTGCATCCCAGGATCTTTTCTCTTTCTAATCTAATTCAGCAGCGACTGCAATGTTTGCTTTCAAAACTTGTCATTGTAGAAACATAAAAGTGAATAAAATACTATTTCTGTTCTTACCTTAGAGCTTAACAGGAAAAAACCGACAAATTCCCAAATGAAAGCACAAATTAGAATAAGAACCTACATTGTCAGAATTACTATTTCCATTGTACAAATAAAGAAACAAAAATTCAGAGAGGGTAAGTGACTTGCCTGGGGACACACAATAGTAAGCGGCAGCATCAGGATGTGAAGCCAGGTGTACCTGATTCTGAGACTCTGCCTGAAAACTGCCTGAAATCACTGTTCTCTCATTCTCTCACATATCTTGGGGGAGAGGGGACAGATTCCATTTCATGCAGAGGAAAGAGTTATAAGCCTGAGTCACTAAATAGTCTTCTTTGTGTTGGAGGAATTGGATACGGACTAAGTCATGTAAGTGTCTTACCCCAAACGGTCTCTTGCCTTCCACCAATGAGGATTATATTTCTCCAGTATCAGGTATTCTTCTGCTCTCCTTAAGGCTAAATTACAGGGTTCTCTGGGCAGAAAATCATAAAGTGCCTTGACTTGAATCTTCTCTTCAGCAACCTCAGAGGGTGGGAGGGGAGGCAGTGGCTTTCGTTTTGACGGCTGCACACAGCCCGTGTTGGACTGTGAAAACCAAGAAATGAGTTGTTTTACAATCATTTTAATAATTTGTACTAAAAAATATAGGGATAAAGCATATTTGCCTTCTGCCTCACTTTTCTTATCTAGCTACACCAAGGCAGAAGCCAGGATGGCATAAATGTAGAAAAGGACTAACCATAAAACTCCTTTTGGATCCAGCAATACCCTCATCATTTTGTACACTTTTGAGATAACAAGCTCTCTTGCCAGCATTTCACTGGACTTTTTAATATCAAAATTCTCAAAAGATGATGTACTCTTCTTCAATAGTTTTACCTTGTTTTAAGGATTTTTGTCTCCTTAAAAGAAGAAAAAAGGCCTTTTTCTTTGTGTGTGGCGGCAGCTCGTGCTTGGGTTTACCATACTTCCTAAGAATGCTGTTTCTCACTGAAGTGAAAATTAATCTCAGCCTCAAAATGACAGGAGCCAGAATATGTTTTTTCCCACTCATTGCCCATTTTCAAGTTCTGCCTGTAAATATAAGTAGCCTATTTTAACTGGTCTTTTCTTTTTCCTTTTACTTTCTTCTAGAACATTCCTTCACAAATTATTGAGCACTTATTTTATGCCAAGCATGATACTAGATTTTGGGTAACAAACAGCACCTCGTGAATGAAGACTCTCAAAAGACAACCTTTTCCATTCCCCTCTTGCCTGTCAAAATGATACTCACTTGCTTCTTATTTGACAATTGACTGAGCCATGGCCTGCGATGCTGGGTGTGTTTTTCTGGAAGCTCTTCATCTGGGCTCAGGCTTATCTGTGTTCTCACTTGTCTGACATTGAAAAGCAATCATGTTACAAATAATTATTTGTACAAAAGGTATCTATACATCCACTAGATTTTCACAGAAATAGTAGAAACATCCAGGTCTGTTTCCAACTCCATTTTCATTTAGAAGACTTCCTAACTCCATCTCCCTGGGCAAATTACTAGTTTTAAGAACTTAAGTTTCCTTATCCAGTAACTAGAGGTGCTAAGAGCATAGAGTTGTTATAAAATAAAATTGAAAAAACATGTCACATTCCCAGTAGAGTCTGGTGCATCTTTGGGGCATAAAATTATACTCATGGTAATAAAAACGTACTCTGTATCTGGCTCAGTGCTTGTCATTTTATATGCATTAGCTCTTTTGATGGTGTCTTTTTGTTGTAAATAGACACGGTATAGTGATTAGGAACATGAGTTTGAATCCCAGCTCCACCATTTCATAGTGTGGCCTTGGGTAAGCAGTGTAACCTATCTAATCCTCAATTTCCTCATCGGTAAAATGGGAATTGTAAAAAAAAAAAAAAAAAAAGTAGGTGGTTTTGAGAACTGTATGAATTAATAAACATAAATCTTTTAGCATAGTATCTGATATACAGGACGCTCCTGTTAAATGTTAGCCTTTTTCTGTTAACATGCTGCCTTGGATTTAATTCTTACAGAGTCATTTACTGCCACTAAAGAATAAGATACACCGATAGTTTTGGGGAGATACATAACTAAGATAGGATTCTTGCCATTAAAGGGAAAAACTACATATTGGAGCACAGACCTATAAACAACATACATGAAATAAAAATTAAGTGGAGAACCATGCCGCACACGGTGGGAACACAATGGGATGAACAACTAAGTCCGAAGGACCAGGAAAGGATCCCAGATGACCTGACATTTGACCTCGACCTGAATTCAACAGGGAGAAAATGGGAGAAGGTTCCCAGGTAGAGAGAACAGCAGGTGCAAAGAGACATGGTGACTCCATAGGTATTAAAGAAACTGAATTAATTAATTTTCAAGAAATTGCCCCTGGAGTAGACTTACCGCTTCTGCACTGAACAGCAACAGCAGCAACAGAAAACCGACTGGATGGTGTTATCTGAAAAGCAGGTCATTTCTCAGCTGTTAGAAAGCCACGAGTACATGATATTGAGGGAGTCTCTAAGGGATGGGTGATACGAATTACTATAAAGCATATGAAAGTCTCGATTGTGCCTTCCTTCACTAGTGGAAGACAAATAACTGTCACTAAAGCAAAAAATAAGTTTCTGGCACCTTGGCCAGTGTGGTTTCCCTTCTCAGGCTCTTCTCCCCTGGCCTGGTTTTTGCATTTCCTCAGTCTGTGAGTGATAAATGACCAGTGTATTCTCTTTTACCTTTGTCAGGGCTGATGTTCACTAACAAATGTACAAGAGAATAGGATTCCAAAAGTGATGCTTTCCTAGGAAATCTGTTAGCAGAGATTTTGAATTAGGTCTGTCATATATTTTTAAATTAAAATGCTTAACACATAGGCTCTTTTTAAAAATTCCATCAACATTTCAGTGGGATGGTATTTCAGTGGGATGATTCTTTTATTTATTTCTTGCAATTAAAAATTGTTCTAAACCTTAGCAGCATGTTAGAATTATCTGAGGAGCTTTTAAAATATTCTGGTGCACAGGTCATACCCTGCATACCCCACACCAAAAAAAAATTAGACTATCTGGGGATGAATCTAGGTATTGGTATTTCTTTTTTTATTATTTTTTATTTTACTTTAAGTTCTGGGATACATGTGCAGAACAAGCAGGTTTGTTACATAGGTATATATGTACCGTGGTGGTTTGCTGCACCTATCAACCCATCATCTAGGTTTTCAGCCCCGCATGCATTAGGTATTTGTCCTGATGCTCTCCCTCCCCTTGCCTCCCACCCCTCAACAGGCCCCAGTGTGTGATGTTCCCCTCCCTGTTGTCCATACGTTCTCATTGTTCAACTCCAACTTATGAGTGAGAACATGCAGTGTTGGGCTTTCTGTTCCTGTGTTAGTTTGCTGAGAATGATGGCTTCCAGCTTCATCCCTGTCCCTGCAAAGGACATGAACTCATTTGTTTTTATGGCTGCATAGTATTCCATAAAACATAGGCTCTTACTCTGGAATAAGTTTAAAGATAAACTGAATATTTGAAGAAAGAACTACCTAATAAGTCTAGGTTATGCCTAGACTTTCGTTGTCAAACTTCATCATTATTTGATTTAAGTGAGATGATTTTCATTTTTAAAGTCCATAAATAAGCCAAGGGTGGTGGCTCATGCCCCAGCACCTTGGGCGGCTGAAGCAGGCAGATCACTTGAGCCCAAGAAGTTTGAGATCAGCCTGGGCAACATGGTGGAACCCCATGTCTACCCCAAAAAGCTTTTTAAAAAAATTAGCCAGGCATGGTGGTGCATGCCTGTAGTCCCCAGTAGTCAGAAGGCCAAGGTGGGAGGATCCCTTGAGCCTGGAAGACGGAGGCTGCAGTGAGCTGAGATTGCACCACTGCACTCCAGCCCGGGTGACAGAGTGAGACTCTGTCTTAAAATAATAACAATAATAATAAAAAAGACCATAAATAAATTTTGAATTTCAAAAGGATATTTTATTTTCATAGAACCTACATTTCCCCATCAGTTCATACTCATATTGACATCTGAAAATATTCTGGAGGCAGCAGAGTACCTTAGAGGTGAGCATTCACTTTTAGGGGAGACAGACCTAGGGTTTAGCCCTAGTCACCTGGCTGACTACATCTTGGATAAGTCTCTTTACTTAATCTAAGTCTTAGTTTTCCTAACTGTAAAACTGAGGTAAATAGTATGTACTCCCTTTGAAAAGCCCTAGAAGGCAGAGATAAATGTCTACCTTTGTGACTTTGAGTAAACTAGTAAATGTTCTGTGTTTCAGTTTCCTCATCTGTAAAACGGGAATAATAGGATGGCTAACATGTAAGCCAATGGTGAGGACTAATTAAATTGATTCATGTAAAACACCTAGACCAATACCAGGTATATGGTAAGAGGGTAATCAAGAAGACTGATTGTAATAGGATCGTGGTGAAGAACCAATTAGATAACATCTTTTAAAGTCCCTGGAACATAAAGGGAAGTATTATCAGTCAGGATCCCAACAAGAATCAGAAGGCACATAAACAGAACCAAAGACAAGAATCACATGATTATCTCAATAGATGCAGAAAAGGCTTTTGACAAAATTCAACAGCCCTTCATGCTAAAAACGCTCAATAAATTCGGTATTGATGGAACGTACCTCAAAATAATAGGAGCTATTTATGACAAACCCACAGCCAATATCATACTGAATGGGCAAAAACTGGAAAAATTCCCTTTGAAAACTGGCACAAGACAGGGATGCCCTCTCTCACCACTCCTATTCAACATAGTGTTGGAAGTTCTGGCTAGGGCAATCAGGCAAGAGAAAGAAATCAAGGGTATTCAGTTAGGAAAAGAAGAAGTCAAACTGTCCCTGTTTGCAGATGACATGATTGTATATTTAGAAAACCCCATTGTCTCAGCCCAAAATCTCCTTAAGCTGATAAGCACCTTCAGCAAAGTCTCAGGATACAAAATTAATGTGCAAAAATCACAAGCATTCTTATACACCAGTAACAGACAAACAGAGAGCCAAATCATGAATGAACTTCCATTCACAATTGCTTCAAAGAGAATAAAATACCTAGGATCCAACTTACAAGGGATGTAAAGGACCTCTTCAAGGAGAACTACAAACCACTGCTCAGTGAAATAAAAGAGGACACAAACAAATGGAAGAACATACCATGCTCATGGATAGGAAGAATCAATATCGTGAAAATGGCCATACTGCGCAAGGTAATTTATAGATTCAATGCCATCCCCATCAAGCTACCAATGAGTTTCTTCACAGAATTGGAAAAAACTGCTTTAAAGTTCATATGGAACCAAAAAAGAGCCCGCATCTCCAAGACAATCCTAAGTCAAAAGAACAAAGCTGGAGGCATCATGCTACCTGACTTCAAACTATACTACAAGGCTACAGTAACCAAAACAGCATGGTACTGGTACCAAAACAGAGATATAGACCAATGGAACAGAACTGAGTCCTCAGAAATAATACCACACATCTACAGCCATCTGATCTTTGACAAACCTGAGAGAAACAAGAAATGGGGAAAGGATTCCCTATTTAATAAATGGTGCTGGGAAAATAAGTAGAAAGCTGAAACTGGATCCTTTCCTTACTCCTTATACGAAAATTAATTCAAGATGGATTAGAGACTTAAATGTTAGACCTAATACCATAAAAACCCTAGAGGAAAACCTAGGTAGTACCATTCAGGACATAGGCATGGGCAAATACTTCATGTCTAAAACACCAAAAGCAACGGCAACAAAAGCCAAAATTGACAAATGGGATCTCATTAAACTAAAGAGCTTCTGCACAGCAAAAGAAACTGCCATCAGAGTGAACAGGCAACCTACAGAATGGGAGAAAATTTTTGCAATCTACTCATCTGACAAAGGGCTAATATCCAGAACCTACAGAGAACTCAAACAAATTTACAAGAAAAAAGCAAACAACCCCATCAAAAAGTGGGCAAAGGATATGAACAGACATTTCTCAAAAGAAGACATTCATACAGCCAACAGACACATGAAAAAATGCTCATCATCACTGGCCATCAGAGAAATGCAAATCAAAACCACAATGAGATACCATCTCACACCAGTTAGAATGGCAATCATTAAAAAGTCAGGAAACAACAGGTGCTGGAGACGATGTGGAGAAATAGGAACACTTTTACACTGTTGGTGGGATCGTAAACTTGTTCAACCATTATGGAAAACAGTATGGCGATTCCTCAAGCATCTAGAACTAGATGTACCATATGACCCAGCCATCCCATTACTGGGTATATACCCAAAGGATTATAAATCATGCTGCTATAAAGATACATGCACACGTATGTTTATTGTGGCACTATTCACAATAGCAAAGACTTGGAATCAACCCAAATGTCCATCAGTGACAGACTGGATTAAGAAAATGTGGCACATATACACCATGGAATACTATGCAGCCATCAAAAAGGATGAGTTTGTGTCCTTTGTAGGGACATGGATGCAGCTGGAAACCATCATTCTTAGCAAACTATCACAAGAACAGAAAACCAAACACCGCATGTTCTCACTCATAGGTGGGAACTGAACAATGAGATCACTTGAACTCGGGAAGGGGAACATCACACACCAGGGCCTATCATGGAGAGGGGGGAAGGGGGAGGGATTGCATTGGGAGTTATACCTGATGTAAATGACGAGTTGATGGCTGCTGACGAGTTGATGGGTGCAGCACACCAACATGGCACAGGTATACATATGTAACAAACCTGCACGTTATGCACATGTACCCTAGAACTTAAACTATAATAATAATAATAAATAAATAAATAAATATTAAAAAAAAAGAAGGCACACAAACTGGGATATGTTGAGAAGGATTTATTTATAAAAGGAAGTATAGAGATGTAGGTAGAGCATAGTAAAACTACAAGGATAGTGCAGGAATCCAGAGCTGAGCCATCACCACACCTAACCAAGTGAGGAGGGAAGGGAAGGTTACCAGAACCTAGAAGGCGAGGGTGTCTGTGGCCCAGGCCACCTGGAAAAGAGCACGTATCATCCATCCAAGGACACAGATGGCCCAAGGAGACTTCATAGCAAGAAAATCAGGAGAATTAATATCCTTACTCCACTCTCCTCCCTCCCTCCTTGCTGGGCTCTCCATTGGCCTAACCCAGAAGGAAGCCAGATGGTTGTATGTAAATCACACAGGAGCGAAGAGCAGGCTGGTGAAAGGCAGAGAGTGGACCAGCAGGGAGAGGGGCAGACAAGAAACATCCAGCACAGTACACCCCTCAGCATCCATTTTTTCTTTCCTTCTTTTTTAAACAGAGTCTCACTGTAGGCCAGGCTGGAGTGCAGTGGTGCTATCTTGGCTCACTGCAACCTCCTCTACCTCCCAGGTTCAAGTGATTGTCCTGACTCAGCCTCCCAACTAGCTGGGATTACAGACATGTGCCACCACACGCAGCTAATTTTTTATAGTTTTTGGTAGAGACGGGATTTCACCATGTTGGCCAGACTGGTCTTGGACTCCTGACCTCAAGTGATCTGCCCACCTTGGCCTCCCAAAGTGCTGGGATTACAGGCATGAGTCACTGCACTCGGCCCATCTGAAAGTGGAAATCATATATGCCCTCTTCCATTATCCATTCCATTTCCCCTTTGCCACTGCCAACACCTTGGCTGGAGGAGGTGCCCAAATATTCATTCCTGTAGGATTTGGGTTTTTGTTTAGTCTGGTCTTTGTGGGGTTGCTACAGTTTTCCATTGACCAGGACTATTAAGAACACTAGGAAATGAAGCGAATGCATTCCCTAATTTTTAAACAAAGTTCTCTTTGCCATAATTGTGAAGTACCAACCCAATTTTCCTCTGTTAATCAGGATAATCACCCCAGCTACACTGACCCCCTTCAGGGCCTATAAATTCAGTAGTACAAGGAATCCCATAGCGGCCAGAGGGCAGTTCAATTTTCAATATTCCTTAATAAAAGGATTCTTCTCTTGGCAATGGAATCTCCAAACCTACAAAAACCAAAGTCACAGGGAAAGTAAACAACAATACTCTGGTGGGCTGCTAGATGAAATGGTGAGAGAGGCTGCTCCAATCTCCACCGCTTTGTTTCCAGACTCATGTA